TGTTGGCGCGGGGACGCTTCTGGCGCGGGGACTCTGCCGCCCTCTCTCGCCGGGGGGCGCGTTGGCGGGGCGGAGGAGGAGAGGCTCCTCGGCGCGAGGGGGAGGGAGGTGGACGGGCGCCTGGCTTTGCCACTGCTCGACCTCGAGGCGGCAGCTTTCGAGCTCGGCATGCAGCTGGCTCGCCTCGCCCTGCCGCCGCGCCTGAGAGGCGTCCAGCTGCGCCTGTGAAGCGGAGGGGCTCGCCCGGTGGGGAGGGCAGGCAAGGCAGGCGGCGCAAGGGTCGAGCGATGGCTGTGCCTGCAGCGCCTCTCTCTCCTCCAGCCCCGCGGCACACAGCCGCTCGCAGGCGGCGAGAGCGCTCCTCGCCTCGGCAGCCTCCGCCTCGGCGAGCGCAATGGCCTCTGCCGCCGCCTTCCCCGCCAGCGTCGAGATCGAGGCCGCCTCGGCCCGCACCGCCGCAACCGCAGCGACCACCGCCTCTGCCGTCTCGCACTCCGTGTCGGCGATCGCAGCGCAGAGCGAAGCGGCGACAGCCTTGCCTCGCTCGTAGCTCTGGCGCGCCGCGTCCGCCACCTGCAGCGCCGCTGCACGCGCAGCGTCCGCCACGGCGGCCTGCTCCAGAGCCTCACGCTCGGCGCTCTCTCGCGCGCGGACGTCGGCGACGCGAGCCGAGCGCAGCGCCGCGGCCAGCGCATCCGCCTCGTCCGCGCGGGCCTCCGCCGCCGCCGCGGCCTCGTCGGCTCTAGCCACCGCCGCGGCCGCGGCCGCCATGACGCGCTCAGCCCTGGCGGCGGCCGAATGCGCCTCGGCCGCGTCGTCCGGCGGCATCGAGGCAGTCGTCGCCGGCGGCTAGCGGGATCAGGCCGGCAAGCCAGGGGCCTCAGAAAGAAAACAACGGCGGGCTGTTTGTGCCCTTGGCACCAGAGACAGGGGCGGGGCCCTGAGTAACTAACGTAGTGCCGTACGCTTACTGTTGTTCGGGATGTGTGGCAGCCCTGCTGGCTGATTTGTTTTTGAGAGAGAGAGATTTTTAGCAATACCAAACAACTCTAACACTCACACGTTTTGTTTTGTTTTTGTGAGTGAGTGTCTTCGTGTCTTGCTTGTCCTTGTGTGAGCTTGTGACGTTGTGAGAGTTTGTTTTGTTTGTAGCTTGTGTGTGTGTGTGTGTCGCTCGCGCGTGCCGTCCTCTTCTGTCTAGCGTCCACCCATGCCGCGTTGGGAGAGAGATTTTTAGCAAAATGTTTTGTCGCGTTGCCGTTGGTGTCCAGAGTCCAGTCCGAGCGCCAGGCTGTTCTTCACCTTCCTACCTAACCTAAAAGCACGCTAGGTTGGACGTGCTTCACAGCCTCACGAGAGCAGGAAAGAAGTATCCGCCGGCCACCCTGTCCGCGTGCCTTATATGCCCCCCCCCCTCACTCATCTCTCTCCCCTCCCTCGCAAAAAATCCAACGAACAAAGGTGAAGTACGCTAGGTTGTTTGGCTGGCCAGGCAGGACCAGTAGCTAGGGGCTGTTTTCCGCGCCCGCAAACGCCGGCGTTCACGGCGGTGAGGTCGGCGACTCACTCGGAAAATAGCGAGCAAAAGCGAGCGAGCGCTTCGTCCCTGACGCGCCTCATCTGCCCTCCGCACTCTGCCAATCATGTCCACCCTCGGGCTGATGGACTCGTTCGACCCCGCCGTCGCGCCCTGCCCCGACGACAACACGGCCGAGTGGTCCTGCCCCTCGTGCCCCAAGAGCTACGGCAACAAGTTCTCCCTCCTCGTGCATCGCCGGCTTCAGCACGGTCTTAAAACGCCGTACGAGTGCGCGGTGTGCAACCTGTCCTTCCCGCAGTCGAGCGACCTCACCACGCACATGAAGATCGAGCACGAAGACAAGCTGATCCAGTGCCCGCACTGCCCGCGCACCTTCCGGTCGCCCAGCGGCATGCGGACGCACCGCACCAACATGCACAAGGACGCGCCGACCGGCGTCAAGCTCCAGTTCGTCGATCGCGGGAGCTGCGCGGCGCCGCTCGCCGAGAAGTCGTCGCGCCACCGATCCCGCGCGGCAGTCCGGAAGCCCGTGCCGGCCACCATCGCCGCCCTCACCGCCAGCAACAACAAGCGGCCCGCCTCGCCGCCGCCGGAGCCGCCGGCGTCCAAGAGCCAGAGGCTCCGGGGCGGCTTCGAGCCGACGCCCGTCGAGATCAACGCGTTCGTGTCCGAGTCCGAGCCGATCTGGCAGCCGCCCCACGTTAAGCCTCTCCTCTCCTCCATGGCCAGCCTCGAGGCATGCTGGCCGGCAGACGCGCCCGCGTCCTTCTCCGTCTGCAGCGATGCGCTCGCGACGACGAAGGCCGAGGACTGGCTCGAGCCGATGCTTCTCGACATCAACACCAAGGCCGCCGACATCTTCTCCTCCGCGTTGCCAGATTTGCCGCCCGTACTCAAGCGTTTTGCCTCCTCCTGGCGTCTGCTCTTTGCCTAGCCCGCTCCCGTGTCTCTTGTGTACCCTCAGACTCATTAGCACATCCGAATAGTAAAGATGAGGCTGTTCATTAGCGCATACTGTGTTCATAGCGGTGCATAGCTTTAGCTTGTTATTTACAGTTTATTGCAGACAAAAAGATGAGGCGTGCGCGGCCGCGGGTGCCCTCCTCCGACCTCCCCGACTCTCCCCGTCGGCACCCCGTGCGAAGCCGTCCCGCGTCCCCCTGCCGCCTGCGAGCCCTGTGGGATGAGCGGGATGTGTGTGGGTGTGCGGCTGAGCTGCAGGTGCAGCGGCCGGACGCCGCTCGCCGCGGGGCGCTCGACCGCTCGAAGCCTCGTCTTCCTCTGGCTTACTAAACACTAAAGAACCCCCAAACTGCGCTCTCACGACTCACTCTCTCGCGTCTCGGCTTTCTCGCACTCGCTCTCAACTTGCTTGAGCCGTCCCGGCCCCGACTCGGACTGGATGTGCATATGTGGAACACCAGGGAGGACGCAGCCGGGGCCAGTGTGCTGCGCTTGGCTAGAGGGCCGGGCGCAAACTTGTTGGACCTGGACCTGGAACTGGACCTGGGTCGGCGAGTTTTGGTGGTCCGAAACGCGGAGGGCGCGGGTGCCGGGTCCGTTGTGGTTCGAACGCGATGCTTCCGGCGGGAGACACGGAAGCGCGCTTGCCACCTTGCCAGGAGGTGCGTAACCCCCCCCCCCCCCCGGCCCCCCCCGAGCCTCGCGCCTCACGCTTGCTTGTTTTGGATGGAAGGCCAGCAGCACTTTGTCTTTGAGCTGCTCTCTCGCAGCCTTCACACTTCAATCAGCGCTGTAAAAGCTCCGAAAAGCTCTGTGCCACCGTCCTTCATTGGGTGGGCAAGTGCAAAAGCCTCCGAACGAACGGTCATTCGTTCGTCATGCATGCATGCATGCATGGAGATTGCACGTGTTTGTTGTTTTGTTGTGTTGCACGTGTTTGTTTGTTGGGTTGGCTGGGCTGGTCCGTCCGTGAAAGAGCATGTGTTGTCTCGCCATGGTGGCAGAGATCGTCCTCCCCCCCCCCGCCCAAGCGGTCGCAAACCTCCGAGAGCATCCCAAGCGATCCGTCCACTGCCGTTGCCCGCCCCATCGCCTCGCTTGCGGACATGCTGCTTCCGATCGTGCAAATGACGGCCTCACCATTGCTGATTTTCGCGACGAGTCCGCCGCGCTCGGCTTCTCCTTCTGCGTACGTGGCGCCCGAACTCGGCCTCTCTGGAATGACGTGCGCCGCAACGCAGCATTTGCCGGCCTCCACATCTCACCAGCCTTGAGAATGAAACGTCGACCAGTGCATTCTCTAGCCGACAGCATCACCCTAGCACAGACAACACTCACAATCGGCTCAAAGAAGGGTGCTATGGCGCACATCCGGTATCCTTCCCGTCTCAGTCTCGCCGACGCCGAGCTCATCTACACTGGCGTGCTCTCAGCGGCGACTACGGCCGTGGCAGTAGCCGTGTCAGCTCAACTTCACGGCAGCATTCGTGAGACGAGGCGGCAGGCAAAAGAGGTGTGGCCTTGCCCTCGGCCTGGCAGCCTGGGTCCTGCCCCGAATACCATAGGAGGGAATCTGGTGTCCGCCCTCCATCACTTTAGGTTGTTGCGGCGCGCCGTCAGATGGAGCTGGCTGCGGCGTGCCTGCAGGGTGTGCTCCGAGATCTCGCTGCCGAGGGCCGCGGGGCAGCGTATGAGGCTGCTGCGCAGCAACTCGACTGCCTCGAGGTGAAGGACGAGCAGATAGCAGCGCTTGAGCGGCTGTTTGAGCTGGACAACGGCGACTTCTCTGAGGATGCATGAGATGAGATTGAGACACAAAGGCTGGGGTCGATATACGTCGCTCTACAATCTATACAGACCCCCTCTCCCATTTCCCCTATTCAGCTAAAATACCGTGCGTGTAGACTCCACTCTCCTACACCCCATAAAATGTGCTAAATAAAAATACTAGAGGAATCGAAAGAGCCAAATTGGTCACCCTGACGTTCACGCCTGCCTGGGACTGACCGCTGCGGCAGTCTGCGCGCACTGCTCCGTCCAGTCCTCAAACGGCTCCTCCGTTCGCTCTGGGTGTAGTCGCAGCACGGGTACTTCGCACGCGGAGCGGCGGAGCTCGCGAACAAAGGTGCGCTGTACGCGGCAGGCGATGACGGCCGAGACGTTCTCAAGCCGCGTGGCGGCCGGGAAAAAGATGGCCTCGACTGCGGAGGCGATGTTGCGAGAGTCGACCACGAGCTCCGGGTAGCCCGAAAACGACCCCGGCCCGCGACCGATGGCGCCGCTGCGCGCATACTCGTTGAGCACCCAGCCAAGCTTGTTCGGACGCCACGGACGTATGTGCTTCCGCTCTTCGGGCCTCTTCATGAGGTGCGTCCGCGCTCGCGAGTCGTGGTCGGGCTCGCATCTATCAAAGCCACACTTGCAGCCGCCGTGTACCCGCTCTTGTCTGCACCACGCCGGAGGGTTCCCGCAGCCTGCCACGCACTGCTCTCTCTGCGACCTCCGGAGCAGCCGCGATATCGGTGGATCGGGGCACTGAAACTGCCGGGTCTCTCCATCGGTGCCAAACACACAGAGCAGCTTGGTCGCGTTGGCGCGCAGCACCATCCCGGCGTGCCCTGTGACAATAGGCAGGACGCGTCGGTCGGGACGGTCCGCTCGAAACATGCCGCGAAAGAGCGTGGTGGCGGAGAAGCGATCGCCGATGGCTCGGCATTTGCCGCACTCCTTACGGAGTACTGCCTGCTCTCGGATGCCGGACAGCCCTTTCGACAGGAGGGGGAACTCGCTCGCGCAGTCCGCGGGGCATCCCTGCCACCACTTTTGCGGGTTCTCCCACGTATCAAAGTGGTGGATCACCACCCCCGCCTCGTCGAGCCGGTTGGATGGCGTGACCGCGAGGCGATAGCGGTCGTTTATTCGGCGGGCAGCGACAGCCGTGCACGCGTGCAGCGCGGGGTCTGGCTGGTGTGCCGCCGGCACCTCGGCGATCAGCGTCGGTGGATGCACTCCGGTCCAGCAGCGCGGGTCGGGATGATCGATCTCAAAGTCACCGCACTTTCGGGCGAAGATCACGAGACCGACGATGCAGCAAAGCACGGGAGTTGTGGCGAGGGCAAAGACGGCGAGCGGGCGAGCCTGCAAGTCGACGCGCATACACACAAATGGTCGGCAAGGCAAAAGTGTGTGGGACGGACGTTTGGAGGAGCTGAGGAGACGAGTTTTCAATGTATTATTAAATGAACTCGGGGGCACAGGACGCGGTACAAACGGGGTACACCAAAAGGCACAGGCTGCCTGCACGGCGTTCACTCGAACGCCATGCACATGGCGCGGAGCAGCATCGGGTTGGTGTCGAACCCGAGCGGGTCCTCCTCCCAGTCCCGGTGCCCACCCTCCGCGTCATCCTGCTCATCGTGCGCGTCGAGCACCCTGCCGAGGCACAGGACCGTCCCCTTGGGAACGCCTGCCCCTCGCGCGCGCGGGAACTCTCCCTGCACCGCCATCACGAACTTCTCGCGCGCCCACTTGCCGCCACGGCGGCAGTGCTGGGGCGCGCGCTCGCGCAGCTCCTCGTAGAGCTCCTCGGCCCTCGCCACCTCCGCCGCCCAGCCCTCCGCTGACGCCTGAGCCGCCTTCTTCTCCCTGAGCGTCTTGAACACCGGCGGCGGCGCCGGCGATGGCGCCACCTCCGGCTCGCCCGCCGCCTCTGCAGCGCGCCGCCCCTTCCTCGCCTTCTCCTTGAGCCGCTTCCTAGCGCTCTTGTACGTACTTATAGCTTACTGGGAGAAAAGAGTATGTGGCTCTTACGTACATTCCCGGAGGAGGACTGCTGACAGGGTTTGCGATTTTCGAGGAGTTGAGAGACTGAAGAACGAAGGGTTGTGGATTCTTCTTGACTGCCATCCCGCTGAGTTCCAGCTCTCGCCGGCGGCGCAGACTTGAGAGCGCTGGAGTCGCTAAAGAGTCTGGAGATCTTCTTGCACAGCCAATCCTCGACGCCGACAAAAGAGCGACACGATCTTTGAACTCAATCGGTGTCGATACACCACTCTGGTCTGTGGCTGAACGACGCCGAGCCGCACTGCTTCCCGCTCTTTGTGCCCAACCACCATCGCCGCCACGAGATGGTATCCTCAGTCCTGTCGAACTTCGTCCTGTCGAACCTCGTCCTGTCGAACCTCGTCCTGTCGGACGTCGCCAAGCCGAACATCGTCAAATCTGCGTCCGATCGGCGCGAGTACCGATTTGTCGAGCTGAGCAATGCCCTCAAGGCCGTCCTCGTGAGCGATAGCTCCGCGACGCTGGCAGCGGCAGCGGTGGATGTGCGCTCCGGCTCCGCGAATGATCCCGACGACGTGCCAGGCCTCGCGCACTTCTGTGAGCACATGCTCTTCCTCGCCTCGGTTAAGTACCCTGTCGAGCAGGACTACGATGCGTTCCTCAAGCGGCACGGCGGCTTCTCGAACGCATTCACGGCGGACTCGCACACAAACTTTTACTTCGAGGCGCCCCTCCGCCCCGCCCAGCACCCTCCGCCACTCCTCCACCGCACTCCTCCGCCGCACCGCCCACCGCCCCCCACGGTTGCACCGCCGTCTGGCATCAGGTGCTGCCTGAGTCGCTGCGCGAGGCGCTCGACCGGTTCGCGCAGTTCTTCATCGCGCCGCTATTCTCGGTGGGCGGCGTCGCGCGAGAGATGCACGCCGTCGACTCTGAGCACGCCAAGAACCTGCAGTCGGACGCGTGGCGCCTCTGGCAACTCGGCCGCTCCCTCGCGGCAGCCGGCCACCCGCACAACCACTTCGGGACCGGCTCGCTGCAGACGCTCAACCGGACCGGCGTGCACAGCGAGCTGCTGCGCTGGTACGGGGACCACTACCTCTCTCACACGATGACTCTCGCCATCGTCGGCGCCGAGGACCTCGACACGCTGCAGAGCTACGCCGCCGACCTCTTCTCGGCTGTGCCCCGCTCGCACCCTCCCCCCTCGGGCGCCGCAGCGGCGCCGCCGCCCCCCCCGGTGGCGCCGTCGGCGTCGCTCTTCGCCACGGCGCCCGCCGCGTTCCTCGTCCGGCCGGTGCGGTCGCTCGAGCTGCTCCGCATCATGTGGTCTCTCCCTCCGGTCGAGTCCGAGTACCGCTCGCGCCCGCTCCGGCTCGTCTCGCGCTTGCTCGGTGGCGAGTCTGCCGGCTCGCTGCGGTCGGCGCTCGTGCGGCGGGGGTGGATCGAGGGCGTGACGACCAGCGTGGAGCGGCAGCCGGCCTACTCGCTGCTTGTCGTCGACCTCGACCTGACGGCGCGCGGGCTCGCGCACTGGCGCGAGGCGCTCGAGGTGGTGTACGCCGCCCTGCGCGCGATACGCGGCCGCGGCGTGACGCAGCAGGTGTTGGCTCCGCTCCAAGGGTGCGAAGGCGGAGCCCTCTGTGCACCCTCTCGGGCCGTTCCTGTGTAGGTCTTCGATGCGCTCCGCTCCGAGGACGAGCTCTCCTTCCGCTTCAAGGCAAAGGAGGAGGCGTCCGACTACGCCTCGGACCTCGCCGCACGCCTCCACCTCTACCCGCCCCAGGAGCTTCTCACGGCGCCGGAGGTGACGCCCGCTTTCGACGGCGACCGCACGCGCGAGCTGCTGCGCCAGCTGCAGCCGACATCGATGCTCGCGCTGCTCGTCTCGCAGACGCTAACCGCCAACGCCACCGACGGCGCCTCTTCAGAGCGCTGGTACGGGACGCAGTACTGGCCGATTCCGCTGCCGGACGACTTTGTCGCCGGGCTCGCCGCCGAAGAGCCGCGGGGAGGGCACTCGTACAAAGGGCACTCGTACGACCCTCCGGCAGGCGGCTTCTGCACGGGGCCAGGGGACGGCGCGTCCGAGGAGGGGGAGCGGGCGGTGCGCCAGAAGCGGCGGCCGGGCCTGCAGCCGGGAGGGTGCCGGGCGGAGTGCGATGCGGAGCCGCTCTGCGCCGGCTTCGCGGAGGGCGGCGGCACGTGCGTCGTGTACGGCGCCGTGGCCGACGACCCGCCACCGCCGTGGGAGGCCCGCCCCGGCGGCACGGTCGTGCGCTCGGGGGGCGGCGGTGGCGGCGCGCAGTGCTGGCGAGTGTGGCCCCCCTCGTCCGAGCTTTCCCCGCCTCCTCGGAACCCGTACCTGCCCACCGACTTTGAGCTGCTGGAAGCGTCAAGCTCGCCCTTCGTCTCGGACCCGCCCGCGCTGCTGCGGCGTGGCGCGCGCTCGCGGCTCTGGCATCGCGCCGAGGTCAGCTTCGGCTTGCCCGTCGCCGCCGTTCGCGTCGCGCTGCACACGCGGGCCGTCTCTGCGAGAGAGGGGGGCGAGGGCGGCGGCGAGGGCGCGGCCTTCGCGCTTCTGCACACCATCTACCTCGAGATGCAGCTCCGCGAGGCGGCGTGGGACGCTTCGCGCGCCGGCCTCGCCGTCAGCCTATCCGCAACGTCGACTGGCTTCGAGCTCTCGGGCCACGGGTACGCGCAGACGCTGCCCGCGTACATGCTCACGGTGCTGCGGCAGGCGCGATCGCTGCAGCCGGATGCGCTCCGCTTTGCCACCGTCAAGGCGCTGGTGGAGCGGCAGCTTGCGGACGAGGATAAGGCCGCCGCTTATCAGGTCGCCTACCAAGCTTGGTCGCACTTGCTGCTCCGCGTCGCCCCCACGCCGGCGGAGCAGCTCGCCGCTGTTCGCTCCATCCGGCTGCCTCAGCTCGTTCGCTTCGCCGCCGACGCCCTCTCGAGTTGGGCGTCCTCCGACTTCCTCTTCTTTGGCAATCTCGACGCCGCCGGCGCTGTGGACGCATACGAGGAGCAGCTGGGCGCGCTCTTTGAGGACGGGGCCGCGCCGGCCGGGCTGCCGGCCGCGCCGTCGCAGCAGCAGGCGGTGGCGGACTTGGGCGGGCGGGCGCTGCTCCGTGCGGTCGCGCACCCAAACCCGCAGGAGACCAACTCGGCTGTCCGGCTCACGCTCGTGCTCGGCGAGCTGAGCGCGCGCGAGGCGGCGACGGCGCAGCTCCTCGCAAAGATGGTCGAGCCCGCCTTCTTCGCCTCGCTCCGCACCCGGCAGCAGCTCGGCTACCTCGTCTGGTCCTTCGGGCGGGAGGTGCGTGGCGTGAGCCTCCTCTACTTCATCGTCCAGTCGTCGAGCGCCTCTCCGCGCCACGTCACGGCCTCCATCCACGCCTTCTTGGAGGAGGAGGCGGAGGCGCTGCTCAACTCCACCGCGGCGGCCGACTTCGCCGCCTACGCCGCCGCCGCCCGCAAGGAGCTGCTCGACCCGCCCGAGCAGCTCGAGGCGGCGGCCGAGGAGGCGTGGGGACAGATCGCAGCCGAGCGCTTCTGCTTTGCGCGGCGGCGCGAGGTTGCGGTGGCGCTCGACGGCGTCTCCCTCGCCGACGTGCAGGCGCTGCTCGCGTCGCTCGTCGCCGCCGACTCGGCCGCAAGCCGCATGCTCGTGCAGGTCCACTCCCCGGAGCACCCCGTCGGCCGCGTGGCCGACGAGCTGCCCGAGTCGAGCCGGAGGGAGTACTCGCCGCTCGAGGACGAGGGGGTGGCGCGGTTCCGCGCCGGCCGCGGCTTCTTTGCCGGCGAGCCGTGCGCGGTGGCTCCGCCGCTGCCGCACGGCCACGACAGCGCGGACGAGGTGTACGGCTGGATGGCTCTCGGGGCGATCGCGTCGCTCCTGGGCGGCATCTCCCTGCTCTCCCTCCGGCTGCTGGCCGGTGCGTGCCGCTCGTCGCTGAGCTCGCTGCCCTTCCTCCAGCTGCAGCCCTCGAGCACGATGAGCGAGCTCGAGCCGGCGCTCGACGCGTCGGCCGCCAGCCCAAAGGCGAGGCGATCCAGCGCGGAGGAGCTGCAGCTTGGGCACTCGGGAGTCGGGCATCACGCCAAGCCGGCAGCGACTTTTGCTTAGCAGTAGGTGCGTGGACGGCGGGGTATTTTCTGTGGTAAATTAAAGAAAATAACGGCAGTTGACACACACACACACACACACATACTCACTTCCCCTGAGAGAGAGAATTCTTGATACGAAACCACGACGACACACACCAGTCGACTCGCATCGGTTGCCTCCATGAACGGCGGAGCTATTCTCGCGCCCACACCACACCTGGCTCCAACGTGGACACGCCCATAGCTGGGGACACTACTAGGTCACGCATGGCATCACAGAAGTTTTATCTCTGGGCCCCGAAAGGCATCTCTAGCAGTGTCGTTACACATGCCCCCTCCCCTCCTGGGCGCATGCGCCTCACGTCTCGCCAGAGCATAAGCCCTTGGCGTGTGGCGAGACGAGTTTTTCGCCATCGCAGCGAGCAGCAAGCCGCCCGCCGCAAACAGCCGGAGGCATCGCCACGGCACTGGCTGCGCCGCGGTCCCGCACCCGTCGACGCAGCTCCCCCCGCGGAAGACCGCGCGTAGCAACGTCTTGACGATCGAGATGAGCGTGCCTGAAGCTCGCCCACCTACTGCCCCTGAGAGTTGGTTATTGAGTGGGATCAGCTCCCCCCCTTGGGATCGAAGCCGCCACAACCTCACACCCAACATCCCAGGCGGGATCAGAAGGGGACTCCACACCGGACACCGCCCGGGCACAGCCCCCCTACCCGTCGGATCGCACAGAGGGCCCCCTCGGAGCAGCCCACACACAATCACGCATCGGCAGATTGAGTGCCTGAGTCAGGCAGACAGCACAGACAAGAGGAGAGAGAGGAGAGAGAGAGAGAGAGAGAGGAGAGAGGAGAGGGTGAGGGTGTGAACACACGTGAGGAGTGGGGGAGGGTGTCTGTGGTGGGTTGTAGTCATACTACGTGGTTACAACCACGCGCCCCTCAGGAGCTTAAGGTAGAGCTGAGCGTCCCAGACGCCTCGGTGCCTCCCACCGGCGTGAAGACCATCCGGATCTTTCCACCGCGCCCTCCGGGCTGAGTGGTCCCCGCGATGGCCCACGGTCCTCCGTCGCCTGGTTGAACCCCCTGCCTCCCGGTTGACCCCCCGGTCCCCGTACACGACCATGAAATAAACTCAAAGTCCACCACAGCCACCAGCCTCCACCTCCACCCGCGAGCCGCCACCGCTGCCGCCCGCGACGCCGCCCGCCGCGTCAGATAGCCGCGACGCGCGCATCGAGTCGCGTCGGAGAGCCGCGCCGCACCAGCAGCAGCATCTGCACCGCCAGCAGCAGCAGCAGCAGCACCACCACCACCACCCGAGAGAGAAGCGCACCTGCCCGACGCCGCCCGCCGCGTCAGACGCTCGCGACGCGCGCGTCGAGCCCAGTCGCACAGCCGCGCCGCGCCAGCAGCAGCATCGGCACCAGCAGCAGCAGCACCACCACCACCAACAGCAACAGAGACAGGCAGTGCAGGCGCAGAGGCGCTCGCAGAGCGGCGCTCAGCGCCGCGCACGCCACGCTGCGGACCGTCGGACGAGCGCACCGTACGTCGGCGGCGAGCCGCGTCGCCAGCCGTCTCGCGAGAGAGCGGCGCCGCCGCGTGCGCGCAGCAGCCGCCGCGGCAGAGGCGAGCCGCGGCGACGTCCGCACTAACGGATAACGGCCATTGGCGGTTTTCTCTCTCTCTCTCTCTCTCTCACTTCCCCTCCAACCAATCCAAAAAAGAAAGAACCCGAAACCGCGCTGGGAGCGGGACCTTGGAACCAACGTGATGTCGGCTTACCGCATCAAGAAGAAGCGGCCTAGGACTCCTCCGCCAGAGGAGGCGCCTTCGATCACAGAGGAGAGCCCTGCTGCTTCGGTGCGCCGCGTTTGGGCATCCACAGTGACAGCCCACCAATCCCGCTATCACCGCCGCTACCGTGCACACAGGCACCAGCGAATGCAGCCGCCGCCTCTCAAGACGCGCCTCCGGCGCTCGGCGCGTGCTCGCCGGCGGTTGGCGGCGGCGGCGGCACCGGCAGCAGCGCTCCTCCGCGCAGGGCGGGCGGCAAGATTCCCGAGGGGTGGCGGGAGAGCCCAAAGGGCGGTGCGGCGCTGCACGGGCTCTGCGCCATCAAGACGCCCCTCAAAGCGGAGCTCTGCGCGTCGCTCCCGGCGGCAGATTGGTGCGTCGTGCTCGCCCGCAGCACAGCGCGCGCGCACCGCAATCTTCCGCACCTCCACCCCCTCCACCCCGCACGTCCCTCCGCCTCGCTCTCTCTCGCAGGTGGACGGTGTCGGACGCGCTGCAGGCGTGCGGCGGGTCGGCGGTGGGGCTGTGGATCGACCTGACAAACACGCGGCGGTACTACGAGCCGCGCGAGCTGCCCCAGTCTGTTCGCTACCTCAAGTTCCAGACGGCTGGCCACGGTCTCATCGAGGAGCAGGTGCGGCCCAGGGTTAGGGTTAGGGTTAGGGCTAGTCTCATCGAGGAGCAGGTGCGGCTCTCTCTGCGCGCACACATGCGCTGCCCCGCCCACCGCCGCCGCCCGCCCGCCATCCCGCCGACTCGCCGCCGCCGCGTCCAGGCCATGCTCCAGATCCTCCACGAGATCTCAGCTCTGCGCGTGGCGCGCCGCCCCTCGCGGTCCGCCTCTGTGCCCCGTCCCTCGGCTGCAGAGGCAGCCCGGCTGCTGCTAGGCGCGAATGAAGGCCGCTAGAGCGGACGCAGTCCGCAGGGGCCTCCCGCCCGAGGAGGTGGCCAAGGCGGAGAAGGCGGCCTCTGCTGCGGCGCGCGTGGTGGTGCACTGCACGCACGGGTGCGCGCGCGCGCGTCTCGTCAGTCTGCGCTGGCTGCGATGGCGGGAGGCGGCTCACCGCCCGCCCGCCTACCCTTCCAGGCTCAACCGGACCGGCTACGTGGTCGCCACCGCGCTCTGCCGGCTCGAGCCGCGCATTCCGCTCGGGGAGGCGCTCGCCGCATTCAGCGAGCAGCGGCCGCCAGGCCTCTGGAGAGAGCAGTACGTGCGCGCGCTGCACGACACGTACGGCGGCGCCATCCCGCCCCTCCCGCCGCCGCCCTCCTGGGAGCACGAGGGGCGGAAATGAGCGCGGCGGGGCGAGACACCAAAGGCGCGGCCCCGCGCGAGTTGTGTGCAGTTGCGAGTCGTTGGCAACAACGTTGCTCGTTGGCAGATGGTGTGCACCTCCCCGTCTCCCGCCCGCTCTCCCCGTCTCGCTGCTCTCTCTCTCGCCTCTCGTGCTGACGCGGCGTGCCGCGCAGAAGGGAGGGCTTTCAAAAAAAAGAACGTCCAGCGCTTTAAACATCGCAGACTCGCGTCATGAACGCAGCACCGCCGCCGAGCCCACCCGCCCCTGAGCCGCCGCAGCGCTAACTTTCGCCAGCTCCAGCCGACTCCGCTTCTCTATCAGCGCTGCCGCGACAAGGACGTCCTTGGCACTGGCCGGCTTGTCTGGGGTCGAGGCTGCGATTCTCTTCATCGCGCGCTTGGCAGCTCCAGTGCGCACCGCCTTTGTGCACTGACGACGCGCGGCGCGAGCAGCGCGGGCCTTCTCCGCCGCCTCACGCTTGAGAGACCGCAGGGAGTTGGAGTTGGTCTCAGTGTTGGTCGCGGCGGCCAGAGCAAGCAGCGCGTGCGCGCCTGGGACGCGCTTGCCTGTGGCCTTCGTCATCTTCGTCATCCTCGGGCAGTCGTCGTAGTCGTAGTGATTTGAACTCCCAGCTTTGACGCCCGACGCGCGGGCGTTTCTTTTTTGCTCGTACAGTCCCCACCGACGCTGTCGTGGGATCGCTTGCCATGTGAGAGACTGCCTTGTGTTCTTGTTGCATTTTCGAAGAGGGAAACCAGGAAAACAAAGTAAAAAAACGACGTGTTGCGCGCTGCTGTTTTGCGCCGTCGTCTCATCACGCGAGGCAACAGGCCGATGCCAGTCAACCTGCTCGCCGCTCTCTCTCTCGCGTACAGCAGCCCGCCTCCCATCATCGGCGGCCAGGGCGAGCTCCGCTTCGAGTATCGGCCCGATCGCCTCGTGCTGCCAAAGGGAGCGTCGCTTCGCAACGCGCACGGCCTCGTCACGGACGCCGCAGGCCGCATCTACTTCACCTACGAGCACGGCGGCAACGACACAAACTGCCTCGTCCGCTGGGAGGCGGACGGAACCGGCGCTCGCTTCCTCACCGCAGGCGGCAAGGCGCTTTGCGAGGGCGTGCCGCACGGGCTGCAGCTCAGCGACGAGGAGGGGCACGAGTTTCTGTACCACGCCAACAACGAGCAGAAGCTCACAAAGACGCGGCTGGACGGCAGCATCGTGTGGCAGCGCTCCGGCAACTTTGGGCAGGACCCGCGGCTGCCGTACCGCCCGACGTGGTTTGCGACGCCGCCCGGCCCGTTTGTCTACCTTTGCGACGGCTACGGCAGCAACAGGATATACGCCTTCGACAAGCAGTCCGGCGCGTGGGCGGCGGGGCGGGTCTGGGGCGGCAAGGGCGGCCGCGAGCAGCACGGAAACTTCTCAACGAACCACGGCTGCACGTACGACGTCACGGCCGACAGGATTGCGGTGAGCGACCGGGCCAACTCGAGGATCGAGTTCTACGACTACGGCAGAGCCGGCGAGCCGGCGCTCGAGTACAGCCACACCCTCGACCTGCGCGGGACGATGGGCGGCGGCTCCCTCCCCTGCAACCTGCGGACCTACCCCGGGCAGGGCGGGCGGGGCATCTCGCCCGACCTGTCCGGCCCTGTCGCGGTGCTCGACGCCGCCGGCCGGGTCGCGTCGGTCGTCAACGTGAGCGTCCTCCTCGGCCCGCTCGGGCACCGCCACCCGCACGACGCCATCCTCCTGCCGAGCGGCGACATGGCGGTCGCCGAGTGGAACCCGGGCTTCGTCACGTACTGGAAGAGGCTGCCCAGCCCGGCTCGGGCAGGGGACGTCGTCGGTTAGCCCGATTTATAAACGCGTTTCACCTCTGCGCGGTGCTGGAGATGGAGCTAGCGGCCATTCGGAGCGCGCGCACGGGCATACATGGAAATCTCTGCGCAACATCGGAAGATCCTTGGACTGTAGATCGTAGATGCCTTTTAGAGATCTCTTAAGTGGCAAATCTCCTGCCAAGAGCTGCAGTAGATTGAAGAACTGGTGGAGGCAAATCTTCTCCGGTGTAGATGCTCGAGAGGAGTCTGAGATCTCGCGTTTGGTGCGTGCAGTCGCTTGAGATCTTGCGACAGAGGTGGAGATTCTGACTTCGCGCCAAAGGCGCCTAGAGATCGTGTGGGCCGACTGGAGATTGCAAAATGGCGCGAAAAGAGGGTGGAGATCCTTTTGCATTGTGAATGAGTCCATAGCGCATCTCCTTGAAGGTTTGAGCCCCCCTCCTCCCCCGGGCCCCCGAATCGACAGTGGAGATTGGAGATTGGAGATGGAGATCGGAGATCTGACTGAATCCGGCCTAAGATGACGACGTTGGAGATTGGAGATTGAAGATGGAGATCGGAGATCTGACTGGATCCGGCCTAAGATATAGCGACGCTGGAGATTGGAGAGTACTGGAGAGATGGAGATCGGAGCCCCCCAGCCCCTAGTGGTGTCTCATCGATTTTTTTGTTTTGTTTTTAGATAAAGGTCTGTGCGCGGACGGCCCGGGGAGCCTGCGGCGCCATTTTAATCTGCGCTCCTCTTTATGGCCTGCGGCGCCTGGCTTGCGAGCTTGGAAGTGTACACGAGTCCGCCAGGGCGGACTGCAAACACCAAGCGCGCTGCGCGGCGCTCGCGGTCTACGCCGAACTGGGGGCGGTATCATGGTTCACGCTGCCAACTCGGCAAATAGGCTCGCCGACATAGACCGCGTACATAGACCGCGCGCGCAGCGCGCTCCGTTTGCAGACCGCCCTGGCGGACTCGTTTACACTTCCAAGCTCAAGCCAGGCGCCGCAGGCCATGAAGAGGAGCGCAGATTAAAATGGCGCCGCAGGCTCCCCGGGCCGTCCGCGCACAGACCACAGGAAAAAACAAAAATCTATAAAACATCTATCAACACCACTAGGCTCTAGGGGGTGGGTGGGCTCCGATCTCCCCATCTCCAATATTCTCTAATCCACAGCGTCGTCATGTTAGGCCGGGGATCCAGTCAGATCTCCGATCTCCATCTTCAATCTCCAATCTCCAACGTCGTCATCTTAGGCCGGATCAGATCTCCGATCTCAATCTCCAATCTCCAATCTCCAATCTCGATTCGGGGGCCCGGGGGAGGAGGGGGGCTCAAACCTTCAAGGAGATGCAATTTGGATTCATTCACACTGACCATCTCTCATCTCCAATCTCCAATCTTCTACTTGGCCACTGTCGCCGCCGGCAGCAATCTACGACCTCCATTTTCAATCTTCGATCTCACATCTGGGGCGGATGGCTGGGCGCTAGGATCTACAATCTGCATTCTCCATCTCCTATCTCCACATTTTGGCCCTGTTGCTGCTCAGAGCGATCTGCAATCCACAATCTCAATCTTCGATCTTTAGTCTTGAATGGGGAACCGGACAGGACGGATCTACTGGCGAGACTTGGGCGTGTCCGTGTGAGAGATCCGCTAGGATCTCCAGTCTTAATCTACTATCTCTACCCCAACGATCTACTGGTCTTGCGCAGAGATTTCCATTACTCCGCACGGGGCGCTCTCCATGGCGCTCTCTGGGAGAGCCTCTCTGCCCGTTCCGAAGCCGGGCTCTCCGGGAGAGACTCCCTGACCAAGACGTCCCAACCCCGAACCCGCCTGCCACCTTGTGATTTTTCTGGGTCAAAATCGTCCCGATTTCATAATGTTCGTTCGTACGTGCATCCGCGGCGCCAAGCGCGGTGCCAGCGGCTCCCATACCTCTAAGAGGCCACCCACCTCCGTATAGACCCTTATATCCGCGGTTTACGCCCAATAGAGGCAGCTGCAAGAGGGCCCGGACGGGCACTGCGGCACACACTGCTCGCTGCTCGGCCATGCGGTAGCGTCTGGTGATGCCGCCCCTGCGCGGGCGGGGGCGTCTCGCTCGGCAGCAACTGCGCCGCGCAGCGCAGGTTCGAGGGTCGCGGTGAAGGGTGCACTGGAAGACGTAGCGGTCGAGAAAGCGCTCAGCGACCGCTACGTCTCGAGGATGGAGCCGTCGCGCGGACCCGACCGGCCGACCGGCAGTAGCAGCAGGCGCCGGAGGGCGCGGGAGGCAGCGGCGACACCTCGGGCCAGAAGCGCGAGCCCTAGGCTGGTGAGGGGGCCCGCTCATGCGTAAACGGCTCTGGGACTTAGCTAAATCGCGCATCGAAATCGGGACGATTTTGCCAGGGCACCGTCACAAGGTGTGAGCCTGACCCCGTCTGTCACTACTCTCTCTTGTGCGCGGTGTCTCGAAAGTGTACATTGACATTTTTCTGGAGACACGTGGGAGACGTGACCGGCACACACCCACAAGGCACAAGCAGCTGAGTTGTAGTGACGGTCGCGATAAAGTGAGTTCCGCTACGGTGGACGTGGAGTGGTGTGGATCCCGCAGCACGACGGGGCATTGAGTTTGATTGAGACGAGTTGCGTGTATTCCGTTCGAGTCAGGCAATTGAGACGCCGTGCGCTCAACCGTCCCCCCTCTGCCCAGCACTCACTGGCCAGCACGCAGCGACGCTGCGGCAGCGGCGGCCGTCGCCCGCTCGAGCCGCCAGATCTTGTGGCTGCCGGACACTCGCAGCGGCACCGTCAGCTTGCGCGGCGCCTCGCAGACGAAGACGAAGGCGGAGTCGTTTTCCTCCGAGGGGCCCTCGCGGCCGGCGGCTCGCGCGGCGACGTACTCGTCGTGCGACAGGCAGTCCCGCACGACGACGCAGCCGAGGAGGGCGGAGGCCGGGTACTCGGCAGGCATCGCTGGCGGCGGGAGGCCGGCAGAGGCGGACAGGTCGGAGTACTGCCGCTCCACGGTCGCAACCTCGAGGTCGTTGGGCGTCCGCGCTGTCGAGGCGATCCAGAGCGGGCCCCGGTGGTCGGTCGGCCACGAGCGACCCTCCACGCGCTTGACGCCGCCCACGAGCAGCGACGCCCACGGCTGGTGCATCGAGAGGCAGAGGTTGCCAAACTCGGTGTCGGAGGGTGGCGGCGAGGCCTCCCCCGCCCCCACCTCTGCGGCCCCCGGCGCGGGCGCAAGGCCGGGCGGCGCTCCATCCGCCCGCTCGCCCGCCTGACTACCACCCGCCCGCCCGCCGCCCGCCCCCGCCCCCCCGCCCTCGAGGCGCAGCTTCTGCTCGCCTTCTCGGGCCTTTCCTGCCGCCGCCTCCCCGCCCTCGAGGCGCAAGTGCAGAGCAGTCCGGTGCGCGAGCGCGTCGATGGCGTCGTCGTCCTGGGCGAGGAACTCCTCCAGCCATGGGTTGTCGTGCTGAACGCGCAGCACCGAGTGCGAGAGGCCTTCCTCCACCGCCGCCGCCCGCAGCTTCGCCGCCGCCGCGTCCAGCCCAGAGCTCGTCGCCTGGCTCGACCCACCGATCTCGACGTTGCCGCGCCCGCTTCGACCACGGTCGGAGGCCGCGCCACCCGCGCCGCGCCCGCGCGCTGCCGGCGCGACGAATGTCGCGCGGCCCTGCAGCGTCGGGTTGGCGAGCCGCCCCTCGCCGCCGCCGCCGCCCCGCCCTGCAGCCTTTGCGGCTGGCGCTGGCTGTGGTGGGAGAGGCGGCGTGTGAGCTTCGCGTCGCCTCTCCCCGACCGCCGCCTCCGCGCCTCGTGCCTGAGCTGGCCGCACATCTGCCTTCCCGCCGCCGCCGCCGCCACCACCGCCGCCACCACCAGCACCTCCTCCTCCTCCTCCTCCTCCACCACCTTCACCGCCGCCACCGCCGGGGCCCTCCTTCACAACGCGCTTGTTTTCGATGTCGATCGTCAGCCTGAGCTCCTTCCGCTTGCGCGCTGCCTCCTCCTCGCGCTCCGCCGCCGCCGCGGCGGCGACCGCTCGCTCCTCCCCACTCATCCACGCGTCCGCCGCCGCGTGCGAAAAGTACTCTGTCTGGTCGTCAATCACGACCGTCCTCTTCGCGGCGGAGCGGTCGAAATCTATCAGCCGGCGGGCGTGCTCCTCCGCCGCGCTCAGCGCCGCGGTCTCCGACGAGGACGGCGCGGCGGCGGAGCAGGCACCGGCCTGGAGCGGCGTGTGCGGGTCGCGGCCGCAAGCGAGGCAAGGACCCTCGCCCTCTTGCGCGCACACGACGGACCCGCAGGCGAGGCAGTTGTACAGCAGCTCGTGCCTCCGTGCGTTGCAGCGACAGCGGTGGCGGCCGGGAAGGAGCGACGCATCGTGGGTCGTGGCACCCGCACGCGGCTGCCGACCCTTCTTATTCACCTTGGACGGCTTGGAGGGCGCTGCCGCCGCACCGCCCACGATGGAGCAAGCCGCCGCCGGCCGACCCGCCTTTGCACGCCCGGCCGCAGCAGGCTCATCGTCGTCGCCCTTGCGATAGGCAACGGGGCTGCCGCTCGCCGCAGCAGCGGCGCTGCCTCCTGGAGCACCAAGGGCGTCTGCCACAGCGTCGGCTTCCGACTCGGATGGCAACATTGCCCGCAGGTAAGGCCGCACGTCGGGCGGCGGCAGCGCGGTGAGCATCGAGATGATGGCACCCACATCATCGAAGCCGACTGCGGACCGGAGCAGCACCTCGGCCGTGGTGGAGCGCGACATGACCCTCCGCAAAGAAAAGAATTTCGATACGCTCTCCCTCAAAAAAAAGAAGAAGGTGCAGGTGCGAATGTCCGTTTTCTTTCTTTATTTCTTTCCTCGGTCTCTCTGTCAACACTGGGGGGGCACGTACAAAGAAAATAAAAGTGATTTTCTTCTTCTTTTGTTCAAAACAGTGTCGTGTCTACTAGCTCCGAGTAGAGGGGGCGTTCTGAAGTTAAAGGGGAAACCCGGTACACGGAACCAACCCTCGGGACCCGTGTTTACTTTATGGCCCTCTCCCTGCGAACGCGCACCCCCCAGGGCTAGGGCTCTCTTGCCCGCAACCCGATCCCGATCATCCGGCCCGCTGGGTGCGCTTCTTAGCTCCCCGGCCCTGGATGTGAGGTTGCCGACTGCACTCCAAGTGCTCCAAGTGCTCAGGCCCCTAAAGGCCTTAAATTATACGCGCGGCGTGAGAGCTCGGAAGCGAGTCCGCGCGGTTCCCTCCGCCTCTCCGCGTAAAATAACCGCCTTTTTAGAGGCACCCCGGTTCCGGCCCTCGCTCCCACCAAGGTACAACCACGGCGCGTGCGCTCGACAGCGCGAGTGTTCATGGGGTGCGGCTCGTCGAGCTCGAAGGACGACGACGTCAATGGCCTGCGCTCGAGCCATCGCGCCGGCACTGGAGGCGTGATCTTACACCACCGCAAGCCCCCTTCGAATTTTGGCGATGAGCGGCACGGCAAAACGCTATCCGAGGTGCATGGGAAGAGAGGGGGGGGATGGGGGTCGGGGGAGAAGACGAAAGCTCGGGTGGAGAGCAGGACACGTGTCCAGCTCCACCCCCTGATCGTCGCTACTTCCCCTTCCCGCCTTCCGTCAGCAGGACACGCCCAGTACCCCATAGGCGTCCGACGTCTCTGCTGACTCGATGCTGGCCGACCTCGCCGACCTGCGACTCCCGGGCGAAGGACCGAGCGGAATGCGTGCGCGAGGCGCGCGTGCCGCGCCGCGGCCCTGGCGTGTCGCGGAGAGCGACAACTACTCGCTGGGAGAGCTATCGCTGCCCGAGTCGGACGAGGGCGAAGCCGAAAGCCAGGTCTCTCAGGTGCGCGCGCCGCCCATCATCGTCCCCGATGTCTGCGACCACGGCCGGCACGAGCCGATCACGCCGATCCTGCACACGGCTGGCTCCTCGAGCGAGGAGAGCGAGGTGCACGACATCGATCATGAGCAGAGCGAGGAGGAGCAGGAGGCAGGTGAGGAGGCAGAGGCGGCGGCAGAGGCGGCGGCAGAGGCGGTGGCAGAGGCGGCGGCAGAGGCGGCGGCAGAGGCGGCGGCAGAGGCGGCGGCAGAGGCGGCGGCAGAGGCGGCGGCAGAGGCGGCGGCGGTGCCGGCGGCGGTGCCGGCGGCGGTGCCGGCGGCGGAAGCGCCAGGGGAGGGGCACCCTAGTACGCAGACGCCGACGCGGCCTGCTAGCGACGCATTGCTGCCACCCAACCCCTTCCTATAGCTAGCTCGAGTGCGGCGCGTGCAACGTCGTGCAGCGCGTACGGTAGCAGGTATTGCGTCTTTAGAGTGGCAGCATAGAGAGAAGAGAAAAGTCTAGCTGCGCATGGTACTGGCATATTTCCGCGGTGTGGTCTGTTGTGAGCCTTCGTCGTTACCCGTTTCGTGCAGCACGTGGTTACATTGCTGCTGCGGTCAGTTTTGTGAATCAAATCGAGTCGCACACAATCACACAGCGCAGGGGGGCCGCAGGCCGCGCGCAGGGCGAGACGACGAGGGAGGGAGCAGGACTCTTTGCGGAGATCAGCAGGAGGATGTACGAAGAGATTAGGAGCAGCAGGGACCCGAGGGACCATGTGGAAGACGGCTAGTGCTAGTCCCCCATCGGGAGGACGACCCCGGCTAGCCGCCGACCACACACCCACAAAGGCCACAATGCACAAATTATATTGTGGCACAAAGAACCCTGAACAAAGCCACACAAGATCGCGGCACGGGCCGGGACCGCTGTTCCTTTTTACCCACCTGCACCTCACAGTAGAGAGGTTTCCGTTTTTATTTATTGGATTTTCTACGACTCTTTGTTTATTTATTTAGCGACCATGAGCACGATGACCGTAACACACATCACCAGCAAACCGCTTTTGGCTCTGTACGTACAGAGGCTAGTGGCTTCTCCACGACGCACGAACTTTCATGTATCGGGGAGATAGTCTAACACACCCCAGTCCCCACCCCATGTGCCATGATTTGATAACACCACACAAGACTTAAATCCCTGACTTAAATAGACACAATTTCCTCAAGATTCCTCTGCCTCTCTCGAGACGATAGAAGCAAGAAGAGGTGCGGGGGCAAGCGAGACGAGAGCTCCACTCGGGGACCCGGCCGTCGGGGCCCCGGCCGACCTGGCGCTGCGCTGGCCAGCGGCCCCGGGCCCTCGTGCTGGCTCTCACGCGTCACGGCACACACACATACACGACTCACTCCATTGATACGTTCACATTGACGTTCCGCGCTCCCATCACCCGTCGCGCTACGAGTCGGGCTGGAGGCGGTAGAGGTGGTCTGGCAGCGAGCTTGCCGCACGGCGCATGCCGCCTGGCGTGCCGAGCCTGCCGCCGTGCAGCTCCTCGAGGCGCGCGCTCTCTCGTCCCAGCTCGGTGAGGTCTCCGGTCGAGATCGGGACACCGCCGAGGCTCGAGACGCGCTGCCCTCCGCCGCGGCCAAGCAGACGCTGCCCAACCACCGCTTGCGCTGCGGGCGGAAAGCCGCTCAACGAGCTTGCAGCCGCGTCGGAGAAGAGGGGCGCCGCGGCGGCGGGCAGGCTCGGGAGGCTCGAGGTGAGTCCCGAGCGGACGCGGTGGCAGCGCACGGGTGCCACCTCGCCGGCGGCAGCGGCGCCCACGCCGGGGGAGGAGACGCGCGGCGGCGAGGAGCCGAGGAGGGCCTCGGTGTCCTCTGGCTCGACTCGCAGCGCCGGCTCGATCTGCGAGAGCGCGCGGGGCCGGTGCGACTGCTGTTGCCGCCGCGGCGGCGACCCCTCGCCGCCGCCTCTCCGCGAGGGTGGCACCGCGTCTTTCGAGTACATGATTTGCGCGGCGGCGGCGCGCAGCTCGCACGCGGTTGGGCGCACGCCCCCGGGGGAGACGGGGGCGCCAGAGACGGCCAGCTCGAAGCCGCGCTGCACCTCGGAGCAGAACTGGCGAAACGTGATGCGGCCGAGGCTGGGCTGCTCGCCGCCGCCGCGCCGCTCCTCGCCCTCGCTCTCGCCAGTTGGGCGCGGCTCGGCGGCGGGCACCGCGGGGCTGCTCCGCCCGCGCGACGGGAAGACGAGGCCGGCGGCGAGGGAGGCGGGGCGAGGGACCGGCCGCTGCTGCGGTGCGATGCCGAGCAGGCGGAGGGCGAGGTACGAGTCGGCCGCCGGCATGGTGCCGGTGCAGCCCGGGTCCATCGCGTCGAAGTAGTGCCTCAGCCGCTCGATGAGCGACGTGGAGGGCGCGTGCGCCGACGAGGCGTAGACGATGTTGCCGCGAGACAGGGCCCACGAGCGGAGCGAGTCGGAGCAGCGCCGCGGCGGAGTCCTCGCGGGCGCCAGGGCGGTGCGGAACACGAAGGAGCGGGGCAGCCACTGCTGCGGCAGCAGCTCCGCGACCGAGGCGGCGACGTAAGTGGCCCTGTCGGCCGGGTAGTAGGGCTGGAGCTCCATCCGGTGGCAGCCCGACTCGACGAGGCAGGTGCGCAGGCCGGCGGCCACGCCCGCCCGGATGTCGGTGTCGAAGCGGTCGCCGACGATGAGGACCTCGTGCAGCTCGCCTGCGGGACGTCTCACGGACGCGTCAAGGACGTGTCGTCGCCGACGAGGAGGTCGCTCGTGCGGCTCGCCGTCGAAGCCCTGCCTCCGGAGCATCTCGATCGCGTGGCCGACCATGTACTTCCCGCCCTCGGCCGCGCCGCCGCCCTTTCCGCAGACGCGGTGCCGCTCGCTGCCGAGCGGGTACATCAGCTTGCGGAACATCGCGGAAAACATCCCGGGACCTGCTCGCGGCGCTGACCGCGTGAAGAGGCGGCAGACGGCCGCGGCTGCACTCGGCTGATCGGCCACCTCTCGGCTACCTCTCGCCTGGGAGCGGGAAGCCGTCGCTCGTCGGGTTGAATGTGTGTGTGTGTGTGTGTGTGTGTGTGTGTGTGTGTGTGTGTGTGTGTGTGTGTGTGTGTGTGTGTGTGTGTGCGTGTGTGTGTGCGCGCGCGTGTGTGTGTGTGTGTGTCGCCTGGGAGCGGGAAGCCGTCGCTCGTCGGGTTGAAAGCGTCCTCGGCAGTGCAGACGAACTCGGCGCCGTGCGAGAGGAGGATGGACGCCTTCTTGATGACGTCGAAGGACCAGTCCGCGTACCCGCGCTCGTTGGTCTTCGGGTCGACGGACGAGGAGATGGAGCCGTCGGTGAAGAGCACGACGAACACCTTCGGCCGCCCCTCGCCTGCAGGGCGTGTGTGGCGGGACGTGTCGTGGACGCGTCCCAGACGACGCGGACCCCTCGCCGGCCCCCTCACCCGGCGCCGCGGCGATCGCCGCCCCAGCGATCGCCGCCCACTCCTTGGCCTCCTCCTCGGTCAGCCGCGTGCGCAGCTCCCAGGTGGCCACCCGCTCCGCCGCGGCGGTGAGCAGCTCCATCCACCACGCGTCCTCGCCCTCGACTCCGCCGGCGATCACAAAGACGCGCGCGTGGTGCGGGATGTGGTCCGCCATGTACGCGCACTGCGCCTGCGCCGCGGGTGCGCAGCAGGAGCGGAGTGAGCGCCGCGGTTGCAACAGCAGTGACCGCGGGCGGGCGTGGCGCCTGAGCAGCCGTGTAGATGTTGTCGGTCGGGACCGGAGCCGCCTGCAGCAGGAAGCCGTTCTTCGCCAGCTTGGCCTGCACTCCGTGCGCACCCTTTGCGCCCGTATTGGAGAGGAAGACGTATGGCAGGCGCTGGCGCAGCAAGTAGCCGTAAAACTCATCCGCGCCGGGGATCGGGCCGGACGGCGAGTACATCGTACCGTCCAGGTCGATGAGAAGTGCCTTGACTCCCGACAGCACTGGATCCACCAACTCACCGCCCTCTCGCGCGAATTCAGCAGCGCAGGGACTGAATGGCGGGGTGGCCGGCGCTGAAGCCACGAGGGCGGTGGGCGGGTCCTCCTCGTCCATGAGCGCCGCGTCGACACCGCTCGAGACGCGGATCGGGCTCCCGTCGCCGAGGAGCGAGGGATTGGCGTAGAGGCCGGCTGCGATGCACTCTCGCAGAACAGTGTCTCGCACGGCCGTCGCAGCCCGCTCCGCCAGGTCGAGGTCGCACCCGGAGCTCGCAGCCCTGTCACGCGCGTGCTCGAGGATGGCGATGGCCTCGCGGAACCTCGCGGCGGCCTGCATAGCCCGCTCGCCCGCCGCAGGGCGGGCGCGCCTACGACAACGCGCCGGGGCGAGCGGCGAGCGGTGGTGGGTGCCGACCCCGGCGAGACTCTCGACCCTTTTCGATGGACGCCTCGTTCTCCAGCGAAAGTCTTGTTCCCTGCTGCAGGCGAAGGGAACAAGCGCGAAGAGGGGCTGATTTCTTCTTGACCAAGGGCGCGCCCGGATCATCAGCACCGAAGAGCGCCGCTGAAACGCGACCCGTTCCTCCCCCTGCAGGAAAAGAAGTCATGGGCGAGGTCGAGGACAATGTGGTGCGCAGCACAAAGCAGCGCCCGCCGCGCGCCCCGCCGCGACGGGGCGCAGGCTGCTGAGGCTGGGGGGTCCTGGGACCTGGGTGGCTGGCCCGTGGCCGCAGGCCGCGACCCACGCGCGCGCAAGCGCAAGCGCCAAGCCCACGGTAGCGCGGTTTCGGATGTGGGCTCTACGAACCTACAGCACCGCCCCCCCTCTCCAACCCAACCCGACCGTTAATAGCCGCGAGTGGCGGAGCGCGCACTCCGGCGTGCGGCGCAGGACCGGTCTGCCGCAGCTGAGCGCTCCCCGGCCGGCCGGCCCTCTCGGAGAGGGCGACAAGGGCCCGGCCACAGCCCGCCTCTCTGGGAGAGCCGTCTAGAGTGTCGTCCCCCTCGGAGCCTCACTGGTCGGTATTCTCGTCGCTCGTCCAGAGCGTCAGGTTGTCGCGCAGCAGCTGCATGATGAGGGTCGAGTCCTTGTAGGACTCCTCGTCGAGCGTGTCGAGCTCGGCGATCGCATCGTCGAAGGCCTGGAGCGGGGGCTGGACTGAGAGGGAGCGGCGAGGCTCGCAGGCCGGCGGGGTGGAGGCTGCCTTTTTGGCCAGGCCGCACGCGTCCGTGTGGTCGCCCTGCACCTCGTACAAGAAGACCGACTGGTTCAGGGCGAGCCCGAGCCGGATCGGGTGCGTGGGCTGCAACCGCTCGGCGGTTGACTGCGCGCCCTCGTAGGCGGCCTGGCGCGCACGGGGCGGGGGCGTCGGGGGCGGGGGCGTCGGGGGCGGAAAGCGGAAAAGTGCTCCTCAGAGAGAGGGGGGGGCAGGCAGAGAGCGTGCCTTTGCGTTTGTGGCGTGCTCCGACTTTTTGTCGCCGCCCGCAAACTCGGCGAGGTAGCGGTGGTAGTCGGCCTTCATCTTTTGGTAGAAGACGGACGGCTCGGCATCCAGGTTGTCCTTGATCAGGTGGTCGTGCAGCAGGGCCAGGATGTCGTTGCAAATGTTGTTGAGCTCCTCCTCAACCTTGGCCCGGTAGGTGCCAATCAGCGCGGTGTGCGCCGACGACTCCTTCGACGACTCCTACGGTGCGAGCGCGCTCCGAGCTCGGCGTCTCGCGCACGGCACGGCGGCCGCACTCGCAGCCCCACTCCTTGGACTCGATCGACGTGATGATGCGCAGCGACGCGCGCCTACAGCAGCCGCGCAGACCGACCTCACGGCGAGCATGCGCCCGCGTGGCCGCGCGGAGCCCGGCCGCACCGCGCGCCGACGACGTTCTTGTACGCGACGGAGAGCAGGTTGCGCTCCTGCCCAGGTGTTGGTAGAGGGGTGAGCAGAAGGCGAGGCGGCACCGGGGGAGAGCAGAGAGGAAATGCGCGAGGCGCGGCGAACCTCGAGCGAGAGCATCTCCTCCTGCTTGCCCTGCGCCACCTTCTTCATGTACTCGACCATCTCCTCGTACCGCTCCGCCTGCTCTGCCAGCTTGGCCATGTACTGCGGGCGGCAGACGGGCCGCGTCAGAACGGCTGGCGCAGAGGCGCGCGTGCGGAAGAGGGTGCGGCCCGAGAGGCGCAGACGGCGCGGCCAAAGTGACCCTGCCAGAGTCGGGCGCGCGCGCGCGCGCGCAGGCCGCGGTGCAGCAACGGTTTGCAAAAAAGCAAGCGACGCTTGGCCGCTCGCGCGCCGCACGCGCGGCGCGGAGGCTACGGCTGCGCTCTCGGCGGCTGCTTTGTGCTGCGCACCACATTGTCCTCGACCTCGCCCATGACTCCTCTTCCTGCAGGGGGAGGAACGGGTCGCGTTTCAGCGGCGCTCTTCGGTGCTGATGATCCGGGCGCGCCCTTGGTCAAGAAGAAATCAGGACCGGCAGGAGTGCAGCGAGAAGCGGCGAGAGACTGCGAAGAGAGATAGGAAGAGGCAGACTCCCTAGGGTGGGCGACGGCTAGCGTAGCGCATCACACACCTCTCCTTAAAATCCCTGTGTGGTGGCGGCGTGCCGTCCTCCCATCCCTCCCTTGGGGTGTCTGTTTTCTTTCTTTCTTTCTGAGGCGTCCATCGAAAAGGGTCGAGAGTCTCGCCGGGGTCGGCACCCACCACCGCTCGCCCCGGCGCGTTGTCGTAGGCGCGCCCGCCCTGCGGCGGGCGTATCATCAGCGTCGCCGCTGCGACCGACTGCGAGGGAGGGGCCGACGATGGCGAGGACGACGAGCGTGACATCGTCAATGGCGACTCTTTCGCGACCGTCATGCGAAAGGTCATCCGCTCTGCTCAGGGCGGGCAGCAGGGCTGCGTCCTCGCCACCAACGGCTGCTGCCTCCCGTACCACCTCTCCCTCTGCCGCACGCAACGCCAGTTTCGGGCGGCTGAGGTGCGAGGCATCGGACTCGCCGTCGCGTCACCTCGGCCTCAAAACGACCCTGCAACCGTCTCCCTCCGTGTCCCTTACCCCGTTCCCCCAGGCTATATCGAGATTGATGTCGATCCGCTCAAGTTCAAGAGCGCATCGGTCTTTACCAAGATTGCAAAGCCTCTCGTCGGCATGCTGCTGCCAAAGCTCAAAGGGCTGCAGATCGACATCGCCTTCATGTTCCAGGCCTGAGCTCCACCACCGGGCCCGGCTGCCGCCGTAGCCACCACTGCATCAGCTGGGCCACCAATCACCCACTGCCGCACCCGATCCCGCAACATCTAATGTGGCGTCTTGCCACTGCCCGCGCGTAGGGTGACAGCGAGGACGAGCTTCCCGAGCGGATATTCGGATCGGCCCGCATCAATCGCATCGACATGGCCGAACATGGCGCGCTGATGGGCAAGGATGGCGCGCCGCCAGTTCGCTCTGAGCGATCCAGCCTCACAAGTGCGGCGCCGGTCCCGCTGGTCAAGGACGAGAGCGAAGCTGAGTTCGAGTGCGGTTGTAGACATTGCTGCACCAAACCCACACTCGTTATGGTGCTGCATCACTCTTCCCAAATCACACGTCAAAACGCTTACACACCGGTAGCAAGCTCGGACCACCGACCGCAACGCTCTCACCGTAGGGCATTGCAAGTCGAGGAGGCGCGCAAGTCGATACAGGAAGCTGCCCAAGAAGCGCACGATATGGCCGCTGCCTACGCCGAGGCGGCAAAAGAGGCGCAGGAGCAGATCGAGCTCGAGGCTGCGCGCGTGAAGAAGAAGGGCGCTGCGCGGCTCATGCAACGCTTCTCGCACTTTGTCTCTCTCTCAAGATGCCCACGTTTCACTGTTCCGCACACTGACAGTTTGCCCGCAGCTCCACGTGGCATGCGTGCGCGTTGCTGTGATTGCTGACTCAAGGCCCGCGATGCAGGTGACCGGCGATCACCCAGACTACGACCATATGTCAGAGGAGAAGGTGTGGCAGCCGCCGCTCGCGCCGTGGTAGGACAGACTTAGGACGTGCTTTTGGCCATTTGGGCCACAAGCCTTCGAGCGACATCCCTCTCGAGAGACATCTCCCGAGTGCCGCCGCGCCTCCGGTCGCCATCAGGTGAAGGAGCGAAACACGCAACGGCTTCGCAAGTCCATGAAAGACAACTCGTCGCTCCGTGCGCACTCCTCGTATTTACGATCCGAAAGCGAAATGTCAAGTCCACCACCGCAGCTGGAGGCTTCCGCTGGCGACCAGCCGGTCGCGCCGCAACCTGATCCTGCTCCAACGGAGGCAGCTTCGTCGATGCCCACGGCCACGGAGACCAAGGCCTCCCCTTCCGCCGCGCCGGGGGAGTGGCTCAAGGAGTACCAGCTGCAGAGTTGCAGTGAGGCGCCGATCGACAAGTTTAAGGCGCGCGCCGCTGCGTCCGGCTGGGCAGGCACAGCAGGGCCGCGGCACTCTCACGCCGCCGATTCGCAACGGCAGGTGCGCGGTCGTTACTACCTCACCAAGGACAACAAGATGAAGGGGAAGAAGGTGCCGCCAGGCGTGCACGGCTACAACCTCAGAGTATCGGCGCTGATCCGGTCAGAGGAGCCGATCGAGCACATCGCGAAGCGTTTCCCGCTGCCGCCAAAGCCAGAGGGCGCGCCGCCGTCCATCGTGATTGCCTTCTCGATCAACAACGCCTCGCCGAAGCAGAATGTGGTGCGCTGTGCGTGCTGTCCAGGCCCGCCAGGCCAGCGCGAGAGTACACCGCCCGCCGCCCGCAGGTCTTCCTCTACGACAAGGAGGCGGCGCTGGACGCGCAGGCGGACCCGCGCGACCTGGAGGCTTACTCGAGCCTAGAGCGCGCCATATTCGAGCCCGGCTCGCAGTTGGGCGCCGAGCGGCTCAAGGTGATCCCGTACCTCTCGGATGGCGCCAGCTGGGCCCTGAGCTCCGTCGTCAACAACCAGTGCGGCCAGCTGGAGGAGGCCCTCACGGTGACACAGCACACCGGCCCAGGTAATCACCCACGGAAGCCTCGGCACAGCACGGCGACGGACTCCCTCCAACATCTAGCGCGCTCGCGCACGCCCTCCAGGCTACGTAGAGATTGATGTCGACGTGCTCAAGTTCAAGAGCGCATCAGTCTTCACCAAAGCCGCCAAGCCTCTCGTCGGCATGCTGCTGCCTCAGCTCAAGAGGCTGCAGATCGACATCGCCTTCATGTTCCAAGGTGGAGGCGCTGCAGTTGACTTGTCTTGTGTGCATGCACTTTAGCGAGTGAACACCGCGACCCGTTAGGCAACTCCGAGGAGGAGCTGCCGGAGCGTATCTTTGGCTCGGTTTCTGTCTAGATGCCCACTCGAGCCGAGCATGGCGCCGAGGGACGATTCACATTTTGCCGCTAAATGCTGCTCGACATCCCATGCCTGCAGGTCAGAATCAACCGCATCGACATGGTGCGGGACGGGTCTCTTCTTTCCTCAGTAAAGCCCGCGGCGCGCCTTCAACAGTTCAGGAGCAACACGGCACGCTTCTGCCATCCCTTCTTCTGTCGCTTGTAGGCGATCGCCGAGGGTGCTGCCGGCGGTGGTGATGTCAGTGCGGACGATGAGGTGGCTGGCCAGGCGACGCCTCCAATCGACGAGGCGTCGCCGAGAGGGCTTGGCATATCCGAAGCGCACGCGATTGCAGCGTCGTACGAGGAGGCTGCCGAAGCCGCAGGCTACGGCGCTTTCAGCCTCATGTGAGGCTGGACACCCCTGGAGGGCCACATCGCACATCGCACGTTCGCTCATCGCGCTCACATCGGCATGTGTGCCATGTCTGTTTCTACTCTTAGAGGTTAGAGGGGAGCGTCCTTGTGTGTGCCCTGCCCCGCTGTGCCTGTGGCAGCTGGTAACTAAAAAGGGACAGCTGGGATGGGTAAATGAGCGGGGGGGCTGGGTCCTTAATTTCTGACAGTCATGCACACTTCACTACCTATCTCTATCTCGCGGTCCCCCGAATCGGTACACGGCGGTCGCATTTGCCTGCCGCGCCAGCCCGCCTCGTGCCACCGGCTTGTCCTCCTCCTCGTCCTCATCGCCGGGGCGGCTCTCGCCGCGGGTGTCACGGATGCGTACCCTTCCCGCCTGCGGCAGCCGCACCTTCAACTCGATGCCGAGCACCGAGACGACGAGGGAGAGGTCGATCAGGAGGTCGGCGCGCACGAGAGCGTCGATGATCTGCGGCGTGTGCGTCGCGCCAAAGCGCGCGTCGTCGTGCCGGATCTCGTGGTCGATGCCCAGCCGCGCGACGAGGTAGCGGAAGTCCACCACCACGAGCGCGCGCCGGTACGAGTGCGGCGGGAGAGAGAGCGACTCGTCGACGAAGCGCGCTTCGCCGACCAGACGGAGGGCGCCGGCGGGCGTCACCTCGCGGATCGCGGCGCTCGATGCGGGCGAGAGGAGGACGGGGAAGGCGGTCGGGTTGGTGAGGCCGAGCGAGAGAGAGAGGGCGAGCTCCGTCTGCATCAGCCCGGCCGCGGTGCAGCCGGTGGGCAGCATGGAGAGGAGGAGGTCCTGGGTGGCGACGGTGAGAAGGCCTGTTCACAGCTGCAGGTGTGAAGAGACGCTGTTCACAGGTGCCGGATGGCGACGGTGAGGATGCCCTGCGGCTGCTGGCGGGACGAGTCGCCGGCGGCCTCGTCCGACTCGCCCACGTGCGGGAAGATGCCCTCGAAAAAGTCGTCGAACACGTCGGCGCGCTGCCTCGTCGGCTCCCGGGGCCGAGGCGACGCCGGCGGCCGCTGCGGCGGCGGCGGCAGCGGCGAGGGCGGCGGCGGAGGCGGCGGAGGCGGCGAGGGCAGCGGCGAGGGCGGCGGCGGCGGCGGCGGCACCGGAGGGAGAGAAGGGAGCGGCGGAGGGCGAGGCGTGTGCGTGATGGTGGCGGCGATGTGAGAGATGCCGTCGACCACGTCTTGCACGCCCTCTGGAGAGGCGGGGAGAGGGAGGCGGTGAAGAGGGGCACGGCTGGGAGGGAGGCGGAAGGGCGGGAGCACTCCACCGCCCCAGTGCTCCGCCACGGCGTCGACGTGGTCGCTCAGCTCCTCCGTCGCGGCGGCGATCTCGTCCGCCGAGAAGGCGCAATTTGCGGCCCGCACGAGCAGCTCGAAGAACACCTGCAGGAAGAGCGGCAAGTCTCTGAGGAGATCCCTGCTGCACCGCCTCTCCCCGGCGGGTTGCGGGCAGGGGCGGGTAGCGGGCAGGGGCGGGTAGCGGGCAGGGGCGGGTAGCGGGCAGGGGCGGGTAGCGGGCAGGGGCGGGTAGCGGGCAGGGGCGGGTAGCGGGCAGGGGCGGGTAGCGGGCAGGGGCGGGTAGCGGGCAGGGGCGGGTAGCGGGCAGGGGCGGGTAGCGGGCAGGGGCGGGTAGCGGGCAGGGGCGGGTAGCGGGCAGGGGCGGTCCGCCTTCTCCTTTTGTTGCACGACCGGCTCGCCCACGTGCAGCGCGGTCAGATTCGCCATCCGCTCCTGCTCGTGCACGCCGGAGCAGCGGGCGACCCGCCTCTGCGCCTCGAGCTTCTCCCAGACCGCCGCCCTCCCCGCCTCGCCCGCCTCGCCCGCCTCGAGGGAGCGCCTGGGGCGGCGGGGACGAGGGAGGGTGGGACCAGAGGCGGCAGCTTGCGGGAGGAGGTCGAGGGAGGAGGGGAGGCACCGCCGCGAGGAGTGCCGTCGCCCCTCCTCGCCCTCCTCCTCGGTGCGCCTCCGCCGGCCAAAGCCCATCAGCGTGAGTCCGGGCGGCGTCGGCGGTGCGGCCGGGGCGGGCGAGGCGTGGAGGCACTCTCCGACGCACGAGTCGGTGCAGCTGGCGGAGAAGGAGCCGCACCCGGAGTCCGGGTTCTCGTTGAACCACGAGTAGCACCTGGCGCAGGAGGACCCGCCGAGATCAGCCGAGACCCCGCCGAGACGACGGCGGTGCGGGCTGAGATCCGCGCCAGCCATCTCGCCCGCACTGAGGGTGAGAGCGGTCGCAGCGGCACTCCTCCCCGCCGCTCTCCTCCTCCTCCGCCGCTGCCTCCTCCTCGACGAGCGCACACTCCTCGCACGCCGCGCAGCCGCTGCTCTCGCACAGCAAGGCCTTCCCGCCGCCGGCCACGCCTCCGGCAGGCTGGCTGTGGCAGTGGGCGGGGCAGGGCTCGCTCAAGCCCGGAGGGAAGGCGCCTTGCTGGTGGGGCGAGCCGGCCCTCTGGACCGTCCTCTGCTCCACCTCGGCGGGCGGCACGCCCAGGGCGGGAAGCCACGGCAGCGCCGCCGGCAGGAGGGCGCCCCTCGCCACCACGCCTGCCCGCACAGTCCCGGTGGAGGCGAAGGCGGAGAGCTCGGCGGCGACGCGGCTCGAGGTCGGGATGCGGCAGTGCAGCGTCACGGTCCGCCACGAGAGGGGAGGGAGGACGAACGGCCGCGGCACCGCGCACGACATCAGGGCGCCGGCCGCGATCGCCGCGCTCACATTCGCGCGCGAGCCAAAGGAGCCGACCTCGCTCTCAAGGACGATGTCTGCGCGTGCCATGGTGGAGAGGAGCGAGAGCGAGGTCGGGTTGTAGGCGAGCACGTCCACCTCGGCCGCGATCGAGCCGGACCGCACGGCCAGCGCCTCCACCGAGCGGGCGCACGCCTCGAACCCTCGCGCAGCCCAGTCGCCGCGCAGCTCCTCAGTCGAGCTGTTTGCGCCGAGCGGCATCTGGATGTGCGCCTCGGCCAGGCTGGGCCCGCAGATGCGGAAAGAGCACAACTCCACGCGAGCCTCGTTGCGCATCAGCGGCAGCATGACATCGCGGTAGAGGATTGCCGCGAATATCGCCAGCGCGATAACCAGCACCAGGAGAGCGGCCCGGAGCACATAGACGCACTTCGGCCGCTCATCCGACGGTGGTGACTGATCCTCCGACTGGGTTCTCATAGCCAGCACCCACGAGCCACGCCGGTGATTCGCCTGGCGAACCAGCTGGGCTGGCTTGGCTCGGCAGCTCGGCAGCGGCGCTTGGCAGCGCCCGCCCGCCTCTTTTGCTCTAACGCCTTGCGCCGTGGAAAGAGAAAGCGTACCCGCAGCGCACTCGGTTTTCTTTCTTTCTTTCTTTTTGAGCGCCTCTCTCACATGACAAGCGATCCCACGACAGCGATTGTACATGATCCCGTGCCCCCGAGTTCATTTCATAATGTGCATGATCCCTACGTGAAGGGTGGAGGGAAACACTCCCGTCAACTTTCTTTAATAGAGAGGACTCGCCGCTCGCCGCTCTATGTGCGGGATTTGAGGGGGCACTGTGTTTGCGGATTTGAGGGGGCACTGTGCGTTTTGCTGTAACGATCTGTGTGTGGTATTGCAATAATCTGGCTCGCGATACGAGAGCGGAGAGAGCACTTGTGCGTGTTTCGTTGCGACTTGCGCGTGGGGCCGCGCGTGGGACACATGGCCCGTGCGCCGTGGCGGGGGAGCGCACACCTGCGCTCTGCGCAGAGTTGGAGTCACAAGGACCATTCCGCGTTCGACCATTCACCGTTTGGGCAGCAGCCTTTGCCGTGGGGCGGTGAGCCTATCACCGCCAGTCTCTCGTTTCTTTGCTCCAAAGGCGAAAGAAAAGAAGTTTAAGTCGTCGCGCAGTCCGAACGTCCCTAGGTCGCACTCGGCGACCGTCTCGCCTCGGCCTCTCGCCGCTGGCACTGAATATGCACAACATCCATCCGTCCACAACCAATTGGTTAGAGCACACCCTCGTCTCTGCGCCACAATGGCTGCGTGACGGGCGAGCTCCCAGTGTGGACAGAGTGTGGATTTGTCACAGCGTTGAGATCAGAATGGAGCCAGTCGCGATTCGGACCATTCAGTAGCCCTGAGCAGTGCCACTACACGGTCGGGGCGGGAAGGTCGGACATGGACCCGCCGCGAACTCCCTTGTATGGGCAGTCGCTGCCGGCCGTGAACCCCTTCAATCAGAAGAATGAATGCGCACGCGAGGCGTACGTGGAGAGCCACTGCTTGATGGATGTGGCACCTGTGCGGGTGTGCCGCCGTCTCGGCATTGTCCTCTCCCTGGGAGTGTTGACGCGGCCTGGAGTTCGGCAGCTGCCTGCGTCGATCTAACCAGCTCGCTCGCGGCTCGGCTGCGGCTCGGCTGCGGCTGGCGGCGTCTCGCGTCTCGCTCCTCTGTGCGAGTGACTCGGCTTCTGTCCTCTTCGGTCTGTCCACAACTCCCTACCAATGCCTGTCCCTGCATGCTCTCTGCTGAGACTCTCCCCTCCCAACGACCACCAGGTGAATGCCGCTCACTGCTGAGACGACGCACCAGTCGTTCCAGTCGACCTCTCTACAGAGCACCACACAGGCCCACACAAAACCTAATTTTTGAACGTGGAGGCCTATAAGTGCCCCACCCGTATTTGTACTCGTGCGTGTGTGGTGCGGATTGTGGGCTCAGCAGGGGCAGCCTCGCCTCCTCCCTCTTTTTCCCTTTCTGCCCGTGCGTGCCTGTCTCTGTTCTGTCGGAATCGTCTGTCTGTGTGAGAGGGTCGGCCCGCGAGAGTTCCGGGTTTGGGCACAGGTGCGTGTGACGTGTGAGGCACACTCTGGCGGCGCTAGAGGCCAACCACTGCAACGGCAACACTCACGGCCTAGGAAGCCCCTCGTGCCTCGAGGGAAGCCCAGACTTGGAGCTGACGGGAGCACTTGGTCTTGGAGCGGTGCAGTCTTCCAGCGCCACACAATGGTCAATGCGCCCTCTATTTCTCTCTTTAAGTGTGTGCGCACAGTCGGGATTTGTGCAGCCGCGGCCCCCAACTCTTCGGGGAGCTACGATTTGTAAGGAGCGCACCCAGCGCGGGCCGGATGATCGGGCTGGAGCTCGAGAGATCTGGGAACTCTCCGCAACTTTTCCTTTTGCCTCAAGCTGTGCGCGCGTTTCACCATCGGCGGTGCCACTCGAACTCCATAAAGAATTCCTGATCGCGGCGGCGCTCAGCGAGCCGTCTTTTTACCAGGTTGCAACCCTAGTCTCGCACTGTACCCGCTCAAGAATTCGCGCACGATTGTGCTTTGCTGGGAGTGTCCAGTACCTTCTCTCTCTCCTCGTCGAACCCACCACCATCCCCTTTCTCCTCCTATCTGTCTAGTGTGTGCCTTGCTGGGGGAGCAGACGGCTTCATCGCGAAGCTGCCCCCAGCAGGCGTCTTGACGGGTATCAAAATTCTTCCCTACAAAAGAGGCCAACGGACGCGAGAATTTTTCTTTTTATCCCAAGTGGCAAGTGTGAATGGAGGGACACGTGTGCGGGAAGTGGTGTGGTTCAGACGCAAAATCGCAAAGAACCTTGGAGCTGCGCAAAATTTTTGCGCTATCCCGCGTGTTGTCAATCGTCGTGAAATCTCTGTAAAGTTAGTACCACAACCCATGGCTCTGTGCCCCGCTCGTCCCACCGTGTCCACCACGGCGCACGGGGTGAAGGGTGATATGGGCGCAGTCTGTTCCAAGCGCGTGCGCGCACGCTCTCTCTCTCTCTCGCCCGCTCGCTCGCACGCGCGGCGTGCGCGAGCGGCCCTCCACGTGGGCGAGGCGGCGAGAATAGTCTCCTCTCAGCGCTTGCCCCGCAACCTGCTCCACCCCTCACACATTCGCCTTGCCCTCCTTCCTCTTCTCATTGTGAAGGAGATCTGCGACGACTCTCGGCACAAGGCCCAACACCTGGGCACGGGCAGTGGTTGTCAGTGCAATAAGGGTAGAACACCAGGATAGGCGCGCGGTGCTGTCACCCGCTCGAGAGCCGAGTCGGCCGCCAGGAGTTTCGCCGCGGAGACAGGCAAGCTCGCCTCCTTGCGGTCATCACGCAGCCGCAGAACACGCTTGCGTGGTGTGTCGTCGACCGTGCCCGGAACGATCGTGTCGAGCTGGTATCGGCGGCCCTTCCAGAAGGCGGGGCATTTTTCGATTGCCAGCGTCATGGCCTTCTCGTGCGCCTCGTCCTCCCGCTGCCTTCTCAACTGGCTTCGCTTGGCTGTGTTCTGCATCTTGGCCAGCTTCGCCTGCTCGACCTTGCCGAGGCTGCCGCGATAGGCCTCGGCCTCGAGCCGCAGCAGCTCTGCCGCGGCGGCCTCCGTTCGTTGGTGGTAGCCTGGCCGCTTTGCTGGAGGCGCGCTGTCGGGGGACTGCGCCTGTGTACAGGGGTCGAGGCCATGGGCGGGAGGGGGAGGCTGAGCGCAATGCGGAGATCGGGGCACCACCTGCGGCCGCTTGGAGCGGGCGCGGTAAGCCGCGACCAGCTCCTCAGCCGCCTCGCGCTGCGCCTGTGTACAGGGGTCGAGGCCATGGGCGGGAGGGGGAGGCTGAGCGCAATGCGGAGATCGGGGCACCACCTGCGGCCGCTTGGAGCGGGCGTGGTAAGACGCGACCAGCCCCTCGCGCAGCGTCGCCGCGGAGCGCTCCGCCTCGCGCAGCGTCGCGAGCTTCTCCGCCGCGCGCTCGAGCAGCTCCGTGTCCGCCACGCGCGCCTTCTTGGCGCGGCCGACGGCGGCCTCCAGCGTCTTCAGCTCGGGCGAGCCGCCGAGCGCCGTGCAGAGCTCCGCCGCCGCCGCGGAGCGCTCCGCCTCGCGCGCCTCCAGCTCGGCCTTCGTGGCCACCGGCGCGCCGGCCACTGCTGCCGCGCCGGCCTCCACCGCCTCCTCGTACGTCCCGCCCAGTCGCGCCTCCAAGCCCGCCGCCGCCTCGGCCTCGCCGACGGCGGCGTCAGACAGCTTCCGGCCGAGCGCCGCGCGGCGCGCGGCCGCCGCCGCCGCCGCCGCCTCCCCTCCCCTCCCCGCCGCGGCCGCCACCGCCTTGCACACGCCCGACCTAGGGCGGGTTGCGGCAGTGCTAAGATGTATTGAAGAGAGGTAGCGGCAGAAAGCGTGGCGCGGCCTCCACGAGGCGACGCGCGTCGCCGCCTTGAGCAGCGCCGGGTCGAGCGCCGCAAGAGCGCTGGAAGCGTCTGAGCGCAGCAGCGCATTGTACAGCGCGAGGTAGAGCACCACCTGCTTGACGTGCGCCTCGAGCATGACGAGCGCCGAGGAGCGCCGCACGCCTGCTAGGTGGAGGTGGAGTACTCTCAGCGTGTGTACGCTCGCAAAAGCGCCTAGCTCACTACAAAATCGACCCTCGGTCGAGCGCTCGGCAATCGCGGTCGCCTTGCCCATGTTCTCAGACGCCTTCCCGCACGCGCGCTTGAGGCCCTTGCGGACGGAGCCCGCGTCGGGCGGGGCTTGCAGCAGCGTGCCCCGCTGCGGCATCGTCTCCCGCAGCTTGGAGTCGACTGCGGCAGGAAACCAAGGGCTGAGATCGCAATCTCACCTGGCCGCTGATTGGGGAGGCCGGGGCACGCACCGAGGCTGCCCTCCGCGACCTCCCGCAGGCCGAGCGGCTTCACGCCGCGCACCGGCGAGCCCACCTCTACGAGCAGCGCGGCCAGCTCCTTGCTGCCGTCCAGGAAGAGGATGTAGATCTCGACGCCGACGAAGAGAGGCTGTAGCCGGAACGGGTGCGGGTACGGAGGGCGAGCGGGCGGGGAGGGAGCTCTGTGCAGCAAAGTGGGGGAGCGGCACCGAGCCGCCTGTGGCGAGGTGGCTCCACGCGCTCTTCCCCATCAGCTTCTTCATCTCCTCCCGCTCGTCGTCCGACTGCGGGCAGCGGATCCCGCGCCACAGCTCCTCGCAGAGCACCTGCGGGACACGAGGAGGCGGTGAGTCAGCGCCCGACACGTGGCGGCCTCGCCTGCTCCGCGCGCCTCGCTGACAAACTCCTCCATCTGCTCCTTGTCCGCCCAGCTGATGTTGGAGAAGTCGCGCGTCGAGACCTTGCCGTCGATCGCCGCATGGTTCATGACGAGGCGGAGGCTGAAGCGCTGGCCGCTGTGCACGCGCAAGTAGTCGAACACGCGCGCGAAAGAGGCGCGCGCATCGGCCGACTCGAGGCGCTCCTCGAGGCAAGCGTTCGACTCGCCGCGCTCGCTCTCGACGGTGAGCGCCGAGCCGTCGCGCGCGCGCCCGTCGGTGGCGCCAGAGCCTACAGTGAGTACCTTTCATGAGAGGGGGAGGGGGGGGGGAGGAGGGGAAGCGCGCAAAGAAAGGGCGCGCCGTAGCTGCAGCCGGCGGCGCACCACTCGGCCGGGATGATGCTCCGCGCGAGGGAGAAGGAGAGGGCCATGTAGATGATGTGCGCCATGAGCCGCTCGTCGCTCGCGCCGCTGCCCAGCTTGCCCCTTGCGCGCGCCTCCTGGAGCAGCGGCGCGAGCGGGCCGTTGTCCGCCTCGGTCGCGATGCGGTACTTTCCGCCTATAAGCGATTGGGTGAGGTGAGTGGGCGGGTGCCATCCGCACGCCGCTGCCGCGGTGCGCGCCGTCGTCGCGGACAAAGATGCCCGCGGCGACAAAGATGGCGAGGCCGCTCGCCAGCGCGGCACGCACGCCCTCGCGCGCCGCCTCCTCCGGCACCAGGTCGACGGCGATGTCGGCGTGGAGGAGGATGCGGAGGAGGATGCGGATGGCTGCGTGCCCGACGGCGAGAGCACGTGCTGGATGCCGCCTGTACACCCGACGCGGTGAGGCGTGAGCGGCGGGGCCGCAGCGGGGGCAGCAGGGCGCGGCAAGAGATGGCACGAACAGCGCGTACCACAGTTTGATGGCGCGCGTGAGGCGGAACATCTTGAAGAAGAGGTAGAGGGCGGCGATGAGGAAGGCGAAGGCGCCGTCCGGGTGCTTGATCTCCTTTTGCTGCGCGGCGATCTCGCGCGCCTTTGCCTCGATCTCCTTTGTGGCGTCGTCGGTGGGGCGCGCCGCGCCGGGTGTGGGGGCGATGCCGAGGTAGCGTCGCCAGTCGCACTCGTCCGCGCAGACGTGCGGCTCGCACTCGACGGATATCACCCAGAAGAAGAAGGTAGTCAGCCGCAGCCGCGCCGTGTCAACGCAGCATCCGGTCGCCTTGCGCTACAGGCGGGAGAAAGGGCGGTGAGAGCGCGGGGAGCGACATACCACAACCCCCCCTTGGGCGCCGACCGGAGGAGTGTCGTGGCCATCGCTACCCCCCCATCACACATTGAGGATCCGAAAAACGGATTCTCATGAACGCAAGCGGGGGGTGGGAAGGCGCGCCGCGGCTGCGGGCCAGGAGTCCGCGGAGTCGGTGGGGCTCGCAGGCGGCATGCCGAGACGCCTGCGCTCGGCGAGGCGGCGTGATGAAGCGAGTGGTGACGCGGCGGCGTGGTGCTTCGCGTGGAGGCGAGGGCAGCGGCGCACGTGTGTGGGTTCGTAGGCGGAGGGACAAGCTTGTGACGCGGGCGCAGTGGCGCGAGAGAGGAGGGAAAAAGAATTAGAAGCCCGGGCGTACGGGGTAGCCGTCACTTTCCTGCCTCACAAGGGCGGGGCTGTCCCGGAAAGTGAGAGACGCCGGGCAGCGTGGCGCATTACTGAACCCTCCCATACGTGCTTGTGCTCCTCCTTCGCTGTCCCATCTCCTCACCTCTTTCCCACCTAGGCGGGGCGGGGGTCGGGGGGGCGGCGGGCGCGGGTGCGAGGTACGGTGCGGTGCGTGCAATCGTGTGTTTGGCGTCATGTCGTGTGTGCCTTCGCTTGTTCCTATTAACAACGAAGTCTAGCTCAAAAAGAATTTGAGAGGCGCTGGGCCCTCCTGCTCGGCTCCAGCGAGTAGACAAGTCTTGTCATCAACAGAGTAGAAGGATCTGACCTCAGGGCTGATGTGACCAAGCGCTGGTAGCGTGGTTTGACCTCACACCCATGGTATCACAGTGTGCCGGCAGTCGCAGAGCAGTGTCGCTCACACAAGCCGCAGCACAAGTGACTGAGGGCCAGTGAGGGCGAGCCCATCGCTGTCACAGCTGTGGCAGCCGCACAGTAGGCTGTATCAACTGCGTAGAGCGTGTGAGCAGCAGAGGAGCTACTCTCCAGGCTTCAGGCGCAAAGCGGCTGCATGTAGCCGTCATAGCGGCGAGGCGCGGGACCGTCTGTGGCGAAGTGGGTCGCGTCCCCCGATTTCTCTCAACACATGGCCGCGGTCCACCGCACACCCTTTACTGGGGCGCCTCCCGCAGTTTCTGTTGTGTAAAAAAAATTGTTTCGGGAGGAGAGGGAGGTGGTGAGGAAAGCCGCAGCACGCTCGACCAGTCCCAGATGGCCCAGCACCCGGAGGTGTTGTGCGCCTGTTATGCCTGAGCGCACTACGACTAGCCCAACAGCCTACCTACCCTCCTCCCCCACCTGTCTCTACGCAACTCTAAGGCAGCAAAGGCGCCGCCCGGACGCCGGACCCTCTCGAGTCTCGCTCCACCGCTACCACACCACAACCGCTGCCAAAGCCTTGGTCTGGCCGATTCTTTTGTGGTATCTCCCTCTATCTCCCCGCATCTTCTGGCATCTCCCCACATCTTCTCGCATCTTCCCGTATCTCCCGGAATCCCGCGGAATCCCCCGCTTATCCCGCCATATCCCGCCGCGGATTCCCGCCGCGGATACCGCGAAAAAATCGGCCAGACCAGGGATCGAAAAGTGTCGGCGCCCAAAGGCAGGGAGGTACAGCATGTTGAGTTGCTCACTGTGGGGGTGGGGGTGGGGGGAGGGGTCAGGCTTTGGTTCTAGGTAGGTGGAGGGGCCATCTCAAAGATCTCTCCAGGAATCTCATGACACAGCCGTCAAGGGCAGTACACAGCCAGTGCAGGACGGTCCACAGCCATGCACAGCGGTACGCACCCTCAGTAGTACGCACCCTCAGAGGGCAGTACACAACTGGAGGGTAGTACACAGCCAGCGCAGGATGGCACACAGCCATCCTGCTAGGGTGCAGGCGGAACGCGACCTGGGCGGTACGCACCCCCAAGGGCATTGTGGGGCGTTGCGGGGAAAGGCTGTCCTGAAGCGAAAGGCTGTCCTGAAGCGGGAGGCTGCCTTGTTAAACTCGTTGAAGTCGTCGCCAGCCGGTGGTGCTCAGTACGCACCTGCTACATTGGGGGCGGCGTGGGTCAGTCTCAGCTCAGTCTGGACGTGGCGAGCTCAGGATATGGCGGGATATGGCGGCGGGATATGTGCAGAGACGGATGCAGTGCGAGCTGCACCTTCAAATGTGTGGCGACAAGGTTGGCGATTGCAGGTCCTGCACGCAGGGCCACAGGGAGCACTGGGTGAGGACAGCGCAGGAGAAAAAAGCTCATCTCGCGCATGTAGGGGGGTAGGGTGTGGCAGAGCAAGCAGAGAGATTCCGTCACAGCTGCAGTTGCTCAGAAGAGCACCGCCGGCGGATTTCATTGTGTGGGGCTGTGGGCAGGCGGGGCGGTGCGTCGGCCGACACAGTGTGGGTCACGGCGCTATCCTCGGTGCGGGCCGTGGGCGGGAAGGGTGCGCGGGGGCTCACACCAGCCGTTCTCGCTTGCACTGCCGCCCTCGCCACCCGCCTGTGCCATGGGCCGAGGGGGTGGCGCGGTCAGATGGGAGTGTGAAAAGAAGGGGACGGCGGACGGGGACGGCCAAGTAGCCAGCCCTGCGCAAGGCCCGGCGCAGAAGTGCCCGAGGTGTCAAAGCCCGTCAGGCGCTTCCACGCTGGGCCGGGCACATAGATGGCAGCCAGGGCAGGGCACCCAGGGCGCGCAGCAGGGGTCTTTTGCAATGCGCGCGCGCGGGCGCGAGCGCGCAGGGGCGGGCAGGGGAGGGGCACCTGGGAGCGGCGAACCGTGGATCGCATGCGGTGGCGCGCGTGCTCGTATCGCCATGGCTCGGACCGCTCCCGCTCCCGCTCCCGTATCCGCGCACGATCGGTGGTGGTCAGGGGGCGGCCTCCGAACTCAGGCGCGTCAACACCGCAGAGAGGGCGGACCGCGCCGAGACGGTGGCACACCCACCGTGCACGCTGCTGTGCCCCGCCACATCAGCTGCTGTGTCACCGGAACCCGCGCGCGCGCCCGCCCCGACAATGAGAGCCCGTGCCGGTCGCGATCCACGGAGTGCGATAGTGTCAACTGTCTCCCCGTCGTGGGCGAGGCGCCCTTTCTTTTTCCCATCACGCAGGAAACCGTCTTATCCGCTGCTCGCCGATCAAAGCATGGTAAAAAGCATGGACTGGCACGTCTTCACCGACGGGCACGTCATCATCATCACCGACGAGCACGCGGTGCTGCCCAAAGGCATGACGCGCCTGCCAGATGAGGCGTTCCAGGGCCGCACCTCTCTCGTCTCGGTCGCCTGCCCGCGCAGCCTCGTCTCCATCGGCGACGACGCCTTCTGCGGCTGCTCCTCGCTCGTTTCAATCAAGCTACCACAACGTCTGGAGATCATCGGGGACGCAGCATTCTCGGGCTGCTCCTCCCTCACCGACATCAGCCTCCCGCGCACAGTGCGCTCGCTCGGGATCTACGCCTTCTGCAGCTGTGCCTCCATAAACAGCGTCACCTTCCGTGCCGGCAAGGCTTCCATCGGCTGCTTTTCGCAGTGCTCCAGCCTGGTCTCCGTCAACATCCTCGACGGCCTCGAGTCCATCGAAAAGTACGCCTTCGCCCGCTGCTCCTCCCTCGCCCGCGTCACCTTCCCCGCCACCCTCACCTCCATCGGCGACTACGCCTTCGCCAACAGCCACTGCCTCACCTGCGTCACTGTGCCAACCACCGCCACCATCAGCGCGCACGCCTTTCCGCCCGCCACCACCGTCCTCCGCCTCTCGCCCAAGAGGATGCGCGACCTGCAGCGCTGGTACGAGGCGGTGGACGGGGCTCTGGCCTACAAGCGCTGCCGCCCCCTTCTCTACGGCTGGCTAGAGCGGGCCCAGATCAGGCTCGGCTCTTATGGCCCGGACGGTGCGGCGCGCCAGCGCGACTTTGAGGAGTTCGAGGGCGACTTTGCGCCGTGGTTGTAGAGTGACAGGCGTGGTTGAAACCGCTGGCGGCCTGGCGCGCGGGGCTGCCGCGAGCGCTCGGCGAGCCGTGTCTACAATGTGTAAAGCCGTGTACGTGTGTGTAGAGTTTAGTGTGTGTGCGTGCGCCCCGGCGCTCTCTGCCACCCAGGGTTTGGAGCCTCCCCATGTTTTTTCACCGTCGCATGTTTTACTTCATGTTTTTTACCGTGAACCGTGTTTTGGTCAGAACTCAGATCCAGACGACTCCACTCGGCACTCCACACCCGGAGCTCCCCGCGCGGTCTCCACATCTAGCTCCGCATCTCTCTACCTCACCATTGAGGACGACGCTCCCGCCTTAAGCGCTACCTGCTCGGCCCTCATAGCCGGCAGCAGCTCCGGGAAGGGAAAGGGCTCGCCTGGCCGCTGCTTGCCCCAGAACTCCTCCGGGTCCTGCTTCACGAGCCGCAGCACGCGCCGCAGCGCCTCCAGCACCTCGCCGCGCCGCTCGGGCACCTCGCTCGGCCGCAGCAGCCGCACAGGCTCCTCCTCCTCTCGCCATGGGCCCTTTGCGGCCGCGCCCGAACTGCTCGCCACCGCCTTGCGCTTGCCCAGCGCGCCCTCCCCCTCCGCCGAGCCCGGAGGCTCCCCGCTCACGTCCTCTCCGACCACCGCCCCCCGCCCGGGCTCGTAGGGCTCCGTGACGGCCGAGGGCGGCGCCTCTCCGCCTCGCGGCGCCACGAATGCGAGGTCGCGCTCCGCGAGCAGCTGCTTCGCGTCCTCCCCCTCGAGCCCCGCCTGCCGCGGGGCATCCGGGAGAGGGGCGCCGGGGAACCGCTTCCCCTCTGGCGCGGCGTCAATCTCCTCTGGCGGCCGCCGCCTCTTGCGGCGGCTCGGCCGGCAGCACTCCAGGTTCAGCAGCGCAGGAAACGGCTGCACGTGAGCGGCGGGCGCGATGATGTCCGCGCTCAGCTGCGCCGCCTCTGGGAGCACCGGCAGCGCGCCGCCGGACCAATCGGACGTCGTCGGGAGCGCCTTCAGCAGCAGCCCGCTCTTCTCCGAGCCGCCGCTCCACGGCGCGTGGCCGAGGATCAGCGCCAGCCGGGGGCCCGCCCTCGTGAGGAGCCACACCACGCGCCCGAGGCGGAGGTCCACTTTGCTCGCGAGCACTTTGCTAAAGAGGTGAGGCGAGGTGCGGAGAGCCCGCTGCAGCCGCACGAGCGCCGACGTCGTGTCCTGGTCGAGGGGGCGGAACAAGCACTCCGCGTCCGCCTCCGAGGGCCGCCAGTCGAGGGCGGCGCCGGGCCACGGCAGCAGCTCCTCCTTTGCGATCTGCGCCAGGCTGGCCTCGGGCACGAGGCTGCCGTCGCGATCGCGCGCGCCGCCGTCCGGGAGCAGCCAGTAGCCTCGCAGCCCCCAGATCCGCCACGCCGCCTTGGGCCGCTTGTCCGTGCTTCCGAGAAGCTTCGCGGAGCCGTCGGCCTCCTGCCAGAGCGTGGCGTCGGTCTTGTTTGCGGTGCGGAACTCGCGGTGCTCACTTGTCTCAAAGTACGCGGCGATGCGCCGCTCGCACTCGGTGGCTGGGAGCGGCGCGGCAAACCAGGGCCGGAGCTGGCCGATCGAGTACCAGTGCACGCGCGAGATCGGCTGCATGCGCCACGATGCCTCTCCCAGGCACACCACCTCGCGCGTGCCCAGCTTGGGCGAGAATGTCACGACGTGCCTCTCGCCGCGCGTGTGGAACACCGTGAAGGCCTTGCGGCCGCCTTCCCGCTTGCCCTCGAGCAGATCCTCGGGCAGCGGCTCAGCGAGACAGACCTCGAGAGAGGTGAGCGCCGGCTGCACGTCGCCAAAGAGGCAGTCGTAGGCGGCGACGACGCAGTCCTTGAGCGGCCGGCGCACGCCCAGCTGCTTGCACGTGGAGGGCGGGCCATAGATCAGCTCAGCCTCGCCGAAGCGGAACCCGTCGTGCGTGTGGATCAGGAAGCCGAGCACGGGCACGCCGCCGACACGGAAGGCGGCCGAGAGGGGGGATTTGGCCACGGGCATAGCTGTGGTGCAAAAAATATTACTCGCAAAGCGAGCATGCGGGCGCGGCGTCCGCGCATGTGCCGGGCGACGCCGCCCCCGCAGGGCTGCCCGACCCCATCGCCCAGACGCCCGCCTACCCACCGCCGACGGGGCCAGAGCACGGGAGGGAGTTCCGCTCCGACGAGGACGGGGACGGCCCCACCGGGACCGAGGCCGAAGGTGTCGCCTACGCCGAAACCCTCGCCGCAGCCAAGCGCGCCGCCGACGAGCGACTCCGCGTCGCTCTCACCGCGGGCCCAGACGCCGCCGCCCCCGCGGGGCCACCCGACCCCGTCCCCCAGGCGCCCGCCTACCCGCCTCCGACGGGACCGGAGCATGGGAGGGAATACTCTTCCGACGAGGACGGGGACGGCCCCTACGGGACGGAGGCCGGGGACGTCAACTGGGTTGATACCACTGGCGTCACCGCCGACCGAGTCGTCGTTGAACGACCTCACATCGCCGCCACCACGCACCCGCGGGGGTCATTGGACGGGGCGCTCCCTAGCCCACCGGTGGGACTCGAGGATCTGCCCACCGAGGTGATCGGGTCGACCATTATGCCAATGCTGGGGCCTAGGGATGCTCATGCTCTGGGAGCGGTGGCTTCCGCCCTTAGGTCCAGCATGGACGGGGCGCCCGTCGACCTGCGGCTCGGGGTGCGGAGACGCCGATGGGCCGGGCGGGCCATCCAGAGATGGGCCCGGGGGGCGGACTTTCGTACGAGGGCCCGCCTAAGCGTAAGAGGTACGAGGGCGTGGTGCGTCCTGTTCCAGACGGACGTGCCCCCCCCAGCGACCAACCTGCGGCTCCTAATCACGTACGTTGGGGAGATAGTGGACCACACGATCACCGTGCCGCCGCACTGGGCGGGGATCGAGGAGGTGGTGCGCTATGTGGAGGTGCAGCTGGGGATCGACGCCGAGCCGATAACGAGAAGCGGTTTCCGGGCCGGTGGAGGTGAGCTACATGACTTCCACTGCGCCACTAACCAACCGAGTGTGGCTAGGGCACTGCAGACGCGTCATGAGGACGCCTGCCGAGACGCGAGGGCAGCATCTTTCCGGGCGGCCGCGCGAATGTACCAGGGAGCGGACCCGAGCTTACACCACGCGATCCCGGTCCCGCCGATGCAGTGGCTGGGGCGCACCGACGGAGAGGCGGAGTTACGACAGGCCCCCCCGGCGGGAGACGGATTGTCGGAGGCCATCCGACACCTGTTGCGGACGAAACCGGGTACGATAGCGGTGGGGAACGCGGGCGGGGGGGAGTGTGGGCCGCTCTCCCTTGGCTATGACGGAAAAAGGGACAGGCCCGGCCGGTCCCAGACGGGAGAGCGGAGAGCTGACCTAGTTCGCTTTGCCCGGGAAAACCCGGGGCTCCTATTGTTAGAATTTCCGGCGAAAACGACTATCTCCCTCAGCCAAGCGGTCGCAAGGAGCTTCCGTGGATACGCCCACCAATACGAGGCCGAGCCCACCTTCGAGATGTGGTGTTCTGCCATGGCCTGCCCCGGATTCAAGTACGACGAGGCGGCGTTCATGATCTCGGCGCTGGTGGACAACCGCGCGGTCGTCATCTACCCGACGGGCAAAGGGGGGGTGGAGGGCCCCATCGTCTACACGGCGGACCCGACCTCCTGCCGGGGAGCTCGCCACCTGGCTCTCGATCGGGACACGTGCTCGGGATGGAGGGAGGCGCCCTGAGGATGGTGGCCCGGGTGGCCAAGCAGCGCGCGATACAAGTGACGCGCCACTGGCAAGCGGTGGGGATCCCTCTCGAGTCGCTCGGGATGGAGCGCTTCCCCACGCTAGCCGCCTGTCATGGGTGCGGCGGTAAATTTCGCACACTGTTCCACGTCAAGCCGGAAGACGGACCTGCGGCTACGGGAGTGGCTGAAGAGGTGGTTAGTGCCATCCTGGAACGGATCTCGGAGCGGGTGGAAGGAGAGGCGGAGGAAGGGATGAGGACGCGCCTACGCCAAGCCATGCAGGGACAGGGAGTGTTTGTGTGCTTTTGTTGTGCAGCCCCTGTGGTCCGTGAGAAGAGGAGGCAAGGAGGCGGGTTAGGGGTGAGGGGGCGGCAGCCGCCACAGCAGGCGAGCGCACCCCGAGCCGGGGCTGCACCTGCGGGTCGGCCTCCCCCGACACGGACTCTGCCACGAAGGACACGAGACAGCCCGGTGAGGTTCGTACCGGCAGCTGACAGGGTGAGACAACGACAGGATGCGATCCGAGAAGCCGAGAGGGACCAAGAGGCCGCGGTGGCGGGCGAGAAGGCGGTCCTGGCGGAACTTAGGGCGATCGGTCTGTCGGTCGCGGACAGCACCGGCGTGCTCAGGCCAGTACAGGCACGAGAGGTGCGGGGCTTGGCTAAACGACTGGTCGGCTCGACAGATCTTCTTGGACAGGTTTTCCGGTGGGAGGGAGAGGACTACCTCGTCAACGACATCGCACCGGGGCCGACACAGTCGGGGGGGCAGGCGCTGAAGGCGTACGCCTGCTGTGTGAAGAGGCGGGTGGCATCGGCGGGCCCGCTGTCTGAACACAACTCGGCCTTTGATATCCGGGCGGTGCGGGATCGAATCGAGAAGGACCAGGCGAGGGGGGAGGCGACGCGACTACTGAGCGGTCTACGGCCTGATGCGGAGAGGGGGGGGGGAGAGGCGGGGCCGTCGACGAATCCGGGCCCTGCCCCCCCCCCTCCCCGAGGGGAGATGAGAGCTAGGCCCCCCCCCACGAGCGGGGTGGACGGCCGACGCGTGGAGCCACGGCTGGAATGGCCGCAGAGGCAGGGGGCATCCCCCGAGGCCCCGCCCCAGGAGGTGCGGCGGCCGGCGCCGCCATCGGGCCCGCCCCCGCCACCACCACCTCCGCCCCCGCCGCTGGAGCGACCGCTGGGTCGAGGAGCCGCCCCTGAGGTTCTGCACCAAGCGGTGCGGCCGCCAGTGCCGCCATCGTTTCCGCCACCCACACTGCCATTTCCACCCCCGCCACTGGAACGGCTGCAGGGTCGTGGGGCCGCCCCAGCGGCTCCACACCAGACGTTTGGGCCGCGAGGGCCGCCACCGTACCCGCCGCCCCTGCCACCGCCTCCACCCCCGCCGCCGGCGGGGCCGCCGCCGTATGGACCCGCTCGGAATAACCTGGGGGGTCCGGGACCGCCCCGCCGGAGGCTGGTGTATCCGGGCGGAGGAGATGGGGGAGGGGAGTTACCGCGGTACGATAGTGGGCCCACCGGCGAGCCGGAGGGCCGTGACCGGAGGGCCCCGGAAGGGACTTGGGGTCAGTTGTCGGAGGAGGCGAGAGATGAGCTGACGCGGCCTCTGAGAGTGGAGTCGGGACGTACGGGCTCACCAGGGGAAGGCCAGTCGCAGTGGCAACCGGACCACCACGACCTTCCACAGGGAGGGCCACGCCCCCCCGAGCCTGGAGAGGAGCCGGCGGAGGGGGGGGGCGAGCCGAGGACGATAGAGAGGCCGCGGGTGCGGGCGCGAGACAACCAGGGAGAGCGGGCTCGACCCCCCGGGGGTGGAACTGGTCGCGACCCAATGCCACCGTTCTCACCCGGGGTGACCCCGGCCGGGCCGCCGACACTCTCAGAACCGGTGGAGCTGGGAGAGGCTAGCGAAGACGAAAGGCGGCAGCGGAGGAAGCGACACCAACAACGAGGGAAACGACCACACCGGCCGTCGTATGACGCTCGGCAAGCGAGCAAGAGAGCGAATCGGGGGGAACCGGAGCCCCGGGAGGACCGAAGGTGGAGCCCCGGGACCGAGGACTAAGCAAGTGTCTGTTTGGGCGTGGTGTCCAGTGTAATGTCCACTAGCTCCGAGTAGAGGGGGCGTCCTGCAGTTAAGGGGAAACCCGGTACGCGGGTCCAACCCTCGGAGAACTGTGTTTACTTTAAGGCCCTTGCCCTGCGAACGCGCACCCCCGGGGCTAGGGCTCTCTAGCCCGTAACCCGATGCCAATCATCCGGCCCGCTGGGTGCGCTTCTGAGCTCCCCGGCCCTGGATGTGCGGTTGATGACTGCACTCCAAGTGCTCCAAGTGCAAATATAAAGCGCCACCATAGGAAGGGATGCCCATCTCTCCTGGAGATGTCTGCTCTATTTATTTATTTATAGGAAGGGATGGGATGACATCTAAAGGCCACTGCATTGCTCCCCTACTCCGTCTCGCGCGTGACCGCGAAGCGCAGCACGCACGTGACAAAGTCGCGCGCCGCGATGCCGTTCGTGTTTCCTGCCGAATCGAGATGGTGCCGCTCGTGGATCTCGTAGAGCGAGACGACGAGGAGCGCCGCCCGCTCGCGCGCCGCCGCGGGGAAGAGCGAGTGGCTTGCCGGCGACCACGGCGCCGCCGCCCGCCGGATCAGCGCCGCCGCCTCGCCCTCGCCGCCCGCGGCGCGCTGCAGCCGCTGCAGCGGCGTCGGCCCGCCCTCGTGCAAGCTTGCGCCGCTGCGCAGCAGGGAGAGAGCGCGGGCGGGGGTGAGGGTCTCAAGGTGCGCGAGCGGCGTCCAGCCGAGGCTGACGACCAGCCAAACGGCGAGGTCGGCGTGGCCGCGGCGGTTTGCGGCATCCTCGGGCGTGCCGGCGGGCGTAGCGGCGCGGGAGGCGCCGTAGGAGGAGAGGAGCTTGGCGACCTCGAGGTGGCCGAAGTGGCACGCCATGAACAGCGGCGTGATGCCGTTGTTGCGGGCTTGGTTCACCGCCGCGCCAGCCTCGAGAAGCAGCCGGGCGATCTCGAGGTGGCCGTGCTTGCACGCGACGTACAGCGGCGTGAAGCCTTCATCCGCAGCTTGGCTGACCGCCGCGCCGGTCTCGAGGAGCAGCCGGGCGCACTCGACGTGGCCCTCCTGGCACGCGATGAGCAGCGGCGTGGCGCCGTTGTTCATCGCTTGATTGATTGAAGCGCCGGCGTCGCGCGGTAGCCGGGCGATCTCGACGTGGCCCTTCTGGCACGCCTTGAGCAGCGGTGTGGTGCCGTCATCCTTGGCTTGGTTGACCGCCGCGCTGGCCTCGAGAAGCAGCTGGGCGCACTCAACGTGGCCCTCCTGGCACGCGATGAGCAGCGGCGTGGCGCCGTCCTCCGTGGCCTGGTTGATCAAAGCGCCGGTGTCGCGCAGCAGCCGGGCGATCTCGAGGTGGCCTTGGTGGCACGCGACGATCAGCGGCGTGAAGCCCTCGTCCATTGCTTGGTCGACTGCCGCGCTGGCCTCGAGGAGCAGCCGGACGATGTCGACGTGGCCTCGGAAGCACGCGACCAACAGCGGCGTGACGCCGTTGTTCTTCGCTTGGTCGATCGCCGCGTTGGCCTCGAGGAGCAGCCGGGCGCACTCGAGGTGGCCCTTCTCGCACGCGAGGAGGAAAGCGGACGCCGCGTCGCGGTCCGTCGCCCCGACCCTCGCTCCAGCTTGGAGCAGCAGCCGCGCCGCCTCGGCCTGCCCGTGACGAGCCGCCCAAGTCAGCAGCGTGTCCTGCTTCTGCGTCTCGAGCCGCGCGTCGAGAGTGCCGCGCGTCCGCCGCCCGGAGAGGAGGGCCAGCAGCGAGCCCAGGTCGCCCACCGCCAGATCGGGCAGCAGCCGGGGGCAACTGCCGCTCATGACGCCAGGAAGAAGAAATTTTTCTTCGGTGGTGAGAAAAAGGTTTAAGCCCCCCTCTCAAACATCAGGTTGACGGTTGAGACCCCCCGTCAACCCTTTAGTTGGGGGTTGAGGCCTCCCTCGCGGCAGGTGTGCTTCCGGGCTCCTGCTCCGATGTCATTCTCCGAGGCCTTCGCGGCTCTCTCCGCCAGCCTGACAGCCGGCGCTCAGCGGCTGAGCGGCGCCTCCTCGTCCTCGGCCGACGCTCCGGCGGCGGCGGCGGCGGCGGCGGCGGCGGCGGCGGCGGCGGGCGCGGAGGCGCGGAAGCTGAGCCTGAGCGATTTCGACGTGTGCGAGCAGCTCGGCGAGGGCGCGTTTGGGACGGTGTGCCGCTGCCTCCGGCGCTCGAGCGGCGTGGCCTACGCCCTCAAGGCCGTCTCGATCGCGCACGCCACGCGGAACGGAGGCCTGGCGCAGGTGATTGCGGAGCGAGACGCGCTCGTCGCGCTCGAGGATCCGGGCCACCCGAACGTGATCCGGCTGCACGCGACGTTCCGCGACGACGACTCGCTCTACCTCGTCCTCGAGCTCGCGACGGGCGGCGAGCTCTTCTCGCACATCCGCCGGCTCGGCGCCTGCTCGCTGCCCTGCGCGCGCTGGCTGACGGCCGAGCTGGTCAACGCACTCGAGTACCTGCACGGGCACGGCGTGGTGCACCGCGACCTCAAGCCGGAGAACCTGCTGCTCGACGAGGTCGGCCACCTCAAGCTCGTCGACTTCGGCTCGTGCTGTCGAGAGCGGCTGCCTACGGCGGCAGCGGCGGGTGACGGCGTTGACGGCGAGGCGGCGAGCGGAGACGCCGGTCGACCCGCCGACACGCGGCGCTTCGTCGGGACGGCGGAGTACGTCTCCCCCGAAGTGCTCGGGGACGGGGACGCGACCGCCGCCTCCGACTTGTGGGCGCTCGGCGCCATCGCATACCAGATGCTTGCCGGCGCCCTCTGCGCTGTGGCGTAGTCGAGGCGGGGTTGCGGGGGGACCCTGACCCTCGCACCCTCCCCCCCCAGGCGCGCCTCCGTTCACGGCGGGCTCCGACTACCTCGTCTTCAAGCGGATCGAGGCGCTCGACTTCTCCTTCCCCGCCCACTTCCCTGGGAACCTTCCATGAACCTTCTCTGAACCTTCCTAGGCGCTCGACTTCTCCTTCCCCGCCCACTTCCCTCCCCCCGCTGCATCGCTCGTCTCCGCCCTGCTCGCGCGCGAGCCGCAGCAGCGGCTCGGCGCCGGAGGCGCGTACGCAGAGCTTCGGGCGCACCCCCTCTTCGACAGCCTCGACTTTGCGTCGCTCCACCTCCAGCCGCCTCCGCCTCTGGCGCCTCCGCCGCCGCTGCCGCGGATCAGCGGCGCCAAGGTGGCCCGAGACGCAGCCGAGACGCAGCCGAGATGGGAGCCGAGATGGAGCCGAGATAGAGCCGAGATGGAGCCGGCGGCGCAAGGCGTGACGAGTAGCGCTCGCGGCTACCGCCGAGGGATGTCCGCGACACGTCCGCGACACGTCCGCGACACGTCTCCGCTAGGTGATGAACCCATATCTCCCCATATCTCCCCATATCTCCGCCAGGTGATGAACCCGCAGCTCGCGTCGAGGGCACTTGCGCGCGAGGAGCGGCCGCAGCTCCTCTCTTCGCAGGCGGACACGCCGTGGGGCGCCGCCATCTCTGAGGGCGAGATCATCGTGCTCGGCACGCCCGTCCTCAAGCGCCGCTTTCTCTCCGTGAAGAGCCGGCCCGCATCTCCCCTATATCTCCCCATATCTCCCCATATCTCCCCATATCTCCCCTATGTCTCGTGAAGAGCCGGCCCGCATCTCCCCTATATCTCCCCATCTCTCCCCATATCTCCCCTGTATCTCGTGAAGAGCCGGCCAGCCTCTCCCCTATATCTCCCCGTATCTCCCCTATATCTCCCTATATCTCGTGAAGAGCCGGCCAGCCTCTCCTTCTCACACACACACACGCCGCCGTGCGCCCTCCTCCTCCACCCTTCTCCTGTGGCCCTTCTCCCCGCCCCTCAGGCAGCTCCTGCTCGTCGACGCGCCGCTCTCGACGCCGCCGCCGCCGCCGCCGCCCGCGTACACAAACTTTCGGAACCCGGAGGGCAGCTTCGCCCGCAGCCGCGCGAGCGAGTCGCACGCGAAGCCGCCGCTGCCGCCCGCCACGCCGCTGGCGGGGGAGGCCGGTTTGTGTCGACACGTCCGAGGTGCGTCCGAGACGTGTCCGAGGCTGCGCCGCGTAGGTTGGCGGCCGGCTGTGTACGTCGACCTTCTAATCAGTTGCTGATCAGTGATGAAGTGCTACTTGTAGGTTGGCGGCCGGCTGGTGTACGTCGACCCCGAGAAGCTCGAGGTCAAGGGCGAGATCCCCTTCTCGTCCGAGTTCGACGCCGAGCTTGGCCCGCGAGGTGCGGCCACACACGCGTGTGGTGCAGAAGCACCTCTCTCCCCACCCCCGCTCGCCGCCGCCCCCGTCGCGCAGGCGCCTTTTACGTACGGCCGGCGGGCGAGCGCGGCCGCACCTACTACTTCGAGGACCCGGCGGGGGACGAGGCGCCTATTATTGTTATTATTATTATTATTATTATTTATTACTTCGAGGACCCGGCGGGGGACGAGGCGCCTCGCTGGGGAGATATGGGGAGATATGGGGAGATATGGGGAGGCCCCGGCGGGGGACGAGGCGCCTCGCTGGCCGCTGCCGCAACCCCCCCCCCCCCAAACACACAACACACACAGGCAACGCCTACCCCCGCAGGTGCTCGCCGAGACGTGGGTGCGCACGCTGCTCCGCTTCAAGGCGAGGCTCGTCGACGAGGCGCGCGCGCGCTAGCGAGGCGCCGATTTGGGCGGCGGGCAGAGCAGCGCAGGCGGCTCGTATGGGGACCGCGGCGCGGCGGTGGCACCGCGCGCGGGCGTTTCAGGCCCCATTTTGCGTTTCGTGGCGTTGCGCACGGCGGCACTTGAGACTTGTGAGCGACGGAGGCGCGAGGAACACGACAACATGCACAACATGACATGTACATGTACATGTTGTGGGAGCTGAACCCTGAACGCTGAACCCGACATGTGGGAGCTGGGAGCTGAACCCTGAACCCAACCACCAAACGATGTCGATAATGAAAAGAGGTTACGTTTGTTCCATTTTTTGGCCTTGACACGTCGTCGGCTTTCTTCCCCGGTACGTGACGGGCGCGCGTTGCGCGCGCTCGTGCGTCGTGGTTTCTGGTTATTTCCTTTCTTCCCCGCCTGTCCCCCGAGGCGGCCGGTGATGAGATGCCGGCGTTTGGGCTGAGCGAGGAATTTGGCGAATAATCGGAAATCCTGCGACGGTGTATCAGTCGCCTTATGCCACCGTTGCATATCTCCGGATTATGCAACGGTGGCGCGCATATAAGGGGACTGATAACACCGTCGCAAAACTGTGCGCATTCCTGGGTCGAACGCTAAGGTGGGTTTCGAACCAGTGACAACGCCCGTCTGGGTTTTTTGCGCCGAGTCGAACTGCGGGATTCGAACTCGAGACCCAATGCAGTTGTGCGACGGTGTATCATTCACTTTATGCCACCGTTGCATATATCCCGCGGATATGCAACGGTGGCATATTAAGGCGACTGATACACCGTCGCACATCCGAGATGTTCATGATCGCGCCCCGGGCCGCCCAGCGGCTGCCCCCGGCCCCCGGGTATCGCCTCGAGGCGTTCCTTGAGCGCGTGTGTCCATCGCGCGGTGCAGCCCCCCCGAATCGATAGCAACACGGCTTTATAATGCACCCTAATAATAACACACGGCGTGTGGGCGTGTTCGAGACGCCCATCCCTACAAAGCGTTGAGAGACCCGGGTGGGAGAGGGAACAAGGAAGGGATCGTGACGTCTCAGACGCGCTCGATGCTCGGCTTTGAGGAGCCCTTCTTGATCCACGATCTGGACGAGCGGCGCTCGGAGCGCGGGCGCGAGTGGCGCGATGAGCGCCTCGTCGATTCACGGTCCCGGGGCGTGTGCGGCAGGTTGTTGTGGCCCGACAGGCCGACATCGCCGTCGCCATCCAGGTCGACGCCCGTCGTGGTCTCGAGGGCGTTGATGCGATCCTCGATGCTCAGGATGCCGGCCGGGCTGTTGGACTGAAGCGCGGGCGCCGCGGCCTTGGAAGGGACGGCGGGCGCCTCGATGTCACCTTCGCTGTTCCGCTGCTCGGCGGTGCGGATGCTCGACGGCAGTCGTGTCATCAGGCGGGTGTAGAGCGAGGGCGCCGGCGTCGTCGGAAGACCACCGGCCCGGCTGCCCGCCTCCTCCAACACCACAAAGTCGCGGCTCACCGCCGGCGCACCCTTTCCCATCATGAGCCGCCGGGCGACGCAGCTGAGCACTGCGAGCGCGACAGCGGCGAGGGAGACGTACGTCCAGAGCGAGCCCGTGCGTCCATCTCCAGGCTCGTCGCTGCTGCCGGCCGCCGAGCCGTCTCCGACAGAGCCGGGAAGGCCAGCGCGAGGCATCGGCCCGCTGCACTCGACGCCGGCGGAGGCAACCCAGTCCACCCAGGAGGCAGCGTCAATGCCGGGAATGGGGCGCCACCAGCAGTCGCGCGAGGGGTTGATCAGGTCAATGGGGTCGGGGAGGTACATACGAGCGTGAGCGGGGAGCGGGTTGCTCGGTCGATGTGGGACGTGCGTACTGCAAGTTTCGCCTTCCTTGGCTTGACAGGGACTTGACACGTCGCTTTCTATTTTTCAGTGTATGTACTTTTAGCTTACTGGGAGATTCTCAGTGTACGTACTTTTAGCTTACTGGGAGAATCTCTCTCTCAGTGTATGTAGCTCTTAAACGTACATTCCCGGAGGAGGACTGCTGACGGGGTTTGCGATGTCCGATGAGGAGCGATCCGAACGGTGGTATTCGGGTGATTATTTGTGGTCATTTCCTTATCCCGATGACGCGGGGCGCGTCAATCGTTTGCTCCTTGTGTTCTTTCATGATGTCAAGGACGTGGAGAAGAAGTGGCTTAGGTTAGGTAGGAAGGTGAAGAAAGAACACACACAGCCAGGCTCGGACTGGACACCAACGCGGTATGGGTGGACGCTAGAGAGAGAGAGAGAGAGAGAGAGAGAGAGAGATCCCGCCTGGGATGTTGGGTGTGAGGTTGTGGCGGCTTCGATCCCAAGGGGGGGAGCTGATCCCACTCAATAACCAACTCTCAGGGGCAGTAGGTGGGCGAGCTTCAGGCACGCTCATCTCGATCGTCAAGACGTTGCTACGCGCGGTCTTCCGCGGGGGGAGCTGCGTCGACGGGTGCGGGACCGCGGCGCAGCCAGTGCCGCGGCGAGGCCTCCGGCTGTTTGCGGCGGGCGGGTTGCTGCTCGCTGCGATGGCGAAAAACTCGTCTCGCCACACGCCAAGGGCTTATGCTCTGGCGAGACGTGAGGCGCATGCGCCCAGGAGGGGAGGGGGCATGTGTAACGACACTGCTAGAGATGCCTTTCGGGGCCCAGAGATAAAACTTCTGTGATGCCATGCGTGACCTAGTAGTGTCCCCAGCTATGGGCGTGTCCACGTTGGAGCCAGGTGTGGTGTGGGCGCGAGAATAGCTCCGCCGTTCATGGAGGCAACCGATGCGAGTCGACTGGTGTGTGTCGTCGTGGTTTCGTATCAAGAATTCTCTCTCTCTCTCTCTGGACGCTAGACAGATGATGACGACACGCGAAGTGGCTGTAGTGCAGAAAGAAAGAAAGAACACAGGCAGCCCGAGGGAGGGATGGGAGGACGGCACGCCGCCACCACACAGGGATTTTAAGAGCAGGGCGCCCAGCAATTTCTTTTAGGCCTCAGCGCCGCCTGGGCCCGCCTTGGCCGACACTCGAACTCTTCGATCGAACTCGTCGATCTTTTGTCCATCGGCCGATTCATTTTCGCTTCTGCATCAGCTCTTCGAGACGCTCGACCTTCTTCCGCGCCTCCGCGCACTCTCAAGTGGGCATGGGCAAAAAAAAGCGGCGGTTACCATTCCTGGCCACCGTCATTCTCGCTGCGCTCGCTGCGTCAATCGCTGGGACGCTTGCCCTCATCGTCGTGACCAACAGGATCAGCGAGGGTGAAGAGCAGAGCTTCTCGCAGCGGCTGCGGCGCAGCCGCCCCGCATTGCTCCTTCAGAGAGGGCGGCAAGCTGCGGACAGTGGAGCAGATCGCCACACCGACGAAGTCGTGCCGGCACGAGAGAGCGCAGCCGCGCGCTGGTACGCCGCTTACGATCCGAAGAGCTTTGGCGTCGCTCCCCCGCCGCCGGAGCCCGACTGCAGCACGCCCGACTCCTCCGAGAGCTGTGAAGGCTGGGCTCAGGCCGGCGAGTGCGACGCCAACGCGCCGTACATGCACATGGAGTGCGCTCACGCCTGCAAGCTGTGCGGCGCTGCGGCGCCGCGGACAGCTGCCTCTCCCGCGGGCGGCGGCTTTGTGGCGGACCTGGCCTGCGTCGACAAGTCGTCCTACTGCGGGCAGTGGGCGGCGGTGGGCGAGTGCGACTCGAACCCCGGCTACATGAAGGCTAACTGCAGAGTGACGTGCGCTAGCCAAAACCCCACACGGCGGGAGAGCCTCAAGGTGCGGGCCCTCCGTGAAGCGCGACACCTCCTCCCGCCGCAGGTGCCACCTCTGCCAGTCGGCGGCGTGCCACGACATGGACGCGGCGCAGTGCAAGGCGGAGGCGGCTGCCGGCGCGTGCCAAGCTTCGCCCGAGTCGATGTTCCAGCGGTGGCGCGGCTCGCGTGGCAGGTGCACTCTCGGAGCCTGCTCGGAGCCTGCTCGGAAGTGCCCGTCAGGTGCCGCTGGTCGTGCGGCTGGTGCGCCATGGTCGTCGACAAGCGGTGCCGGAGAGACGCCTCCTTCCCGGGCCAGCTCCCCGCCGCGACGGCTGGCTCGACCGGCGCCATGTTCGAGCGCTCGCTGGCCAAGGCGGCCGAGAAGGGCTACGCGGCCACGGTCCTGTCGCGCGACCCTTGGGTGGTGACGTACGACCACTTCCTCTCCGCCGACGAGGCGAGCGCCATCATCTCCAAGGGCGAGAAGCATTGGAGTCGCTCTGTCGCGGGAGACGGTGAAGCTTCCTAGACGCTTCCTAGACACTTCCTCTAGACACGTCCTAGACACTTCCTCAGCCCTCCCGGTAGGCGTGCAGTCCGTCCGCACCTCGTCGACTGCGTGGTGCGAGCACGACGGGTGCGGCAGCGACCCGGTCCTGAGCCGCGTCCGGAGCCGGATCGCCAACTTGACGGGTGTGCCGGAGGCGCACGCGGAGCCGATGCAGATCCTGCGGTACGAGCCGGGCCAGTTCTACCGGCGGCACCACGACCAGAACGCGCCCGCGACGACGGCGTGGGGGCCGCGGCTCTACACCTTCTTTATGTACCTCTCTGAGCCAGAGGCGGGCGGGGAGACCTCCTTTCCGGCACCGCCGCCCTCGGCGCTCGCCAGCCAGCCGCAGGGGTGCTAAGGGTGCTGTCGCCTCGTGTAGGTGCTCAACCTCTCGGTCGCGCCGAAGCTGGGCCGTGCGCTGCTGTGGCCGTCGGTGCTGGACCACGACCCACTCGCCCGCGACGACCGCACAGACCACGAGGCGGTCGCGGTCGGGCGAGGCGTCAAGTTCGCGTCCAACTACTGGCTCCATTTGTGGGACTTCCAGGGGCCCAACCGAGCAGGCTGCTCGAACACAGAGGTGTACGGTAACTGGTGAGTGAGCGACCAGCGTGAGTGTGATCACCGGCGTGACCGGATCTAGCTTAGAAGAGGAGGAAGAAACTAGTTTTGCGTGCTCAACTCGTTGAGGCTCAAGGCCGCGTGTGCAGCGGGTTGATGCTCGAGCTCAACCCCGCGAGATATCGGCCATCGGCCGTCCTCACGAGTGAGCGCGTGACCGCTGGAAGCCAACGTAGAAGCCAACCTGCGCTGCGGATCAATCGCCACCTACCTGGTCATGCTGGACGCGACACATCTGGAGGCAGAAGTGCGGCGGCTTCGCAATGAGAACCAGCTGCTCACGTCGCGCGTGAAATGTGACGTCATTCAAGAGGACGTTCTGGCAAAGTTTCAAGTGGCGCTGCAGCCGTTGCACGAGAGGGTGGCTGCCGGAGCATACAGCGAAGACATCGACCGGCTTGAGATCGATATCTTGGAAGTATACGAAACGCATATCCAAGCGTACGACGAGCGCGCTAGTGGTTTTCACGCCGATGCGGTACAGTCACAGCGAGAAGACCTTGTCCACGGCCTCTGTGCCAGCTTGCGGCGCGTCGCTCTTAGCGGCCTCGAGGTGTCCCTGACCCAACAGCTGGAGGACGCGACTGACGAGGTTCTGCTGGATGCAGCGGTCACGAACGAGCAGCCGCAGCTGTGGCCAAGGCTAGCACGCCTGTGGGAGGACGAGGCCCAGAAAGCAGCCGAGAGGGTGCGATCTACTCTTGTCCGACTCGGATGTGCAGAGGAGAGTGCGGTGCTGGAGGCGAAGGAGGCAGACGAGCTCCGAGCTTCAGCGAGAGCAGTGGTGGCTGGACGACTAGACAATCCCGTCATCTTCTTGCCTGAGCTGCTTCGCAGAGCGTTCGATACAACGTTTCGGTATCAAAGTTACCAAGGTACGCTTCGCGTCACCGGCCCCTTTACCGACCTCGATTCCCTCTATGCCGAGGCGATGGCTCGAGTCCATTCATACCTGGACGAGTTTTCGCGACCCCTGGCTGTGAGCCTGCCGCAGCCATCAAGCACTATCGCCTCGAGTGCGTCCGAAGATGCGCCGCTCGTGGACTGGCGAGCCCGCGATCGCTTCGAGCGCGAAGTGAGGGTGCATGCAGACGACCTGTTCGAGACGCAAGCGACCAAGCAGCTGCTCCTGCGAGGAACGTGTGATCTGCCGCTGGGGGCGCTGGTGGTCATGCTCTTCCTTGGGTACGACCACATTCTCGCGACTCTGCTCCACCCACTCAAGCTGGCGGCCCTTGCGGCGATTTGTGTGCTGTGCGGTGCTACCATCTGGGCTCGGCGGCTCGGGCTCATTCGCGGTAAGTGTGGCGCGTGCCTGGACACCGCACTGGCGGTGGCGACGCTCGGGGTGTGCACCTCGATGCGGGTGAAATCCTTCTATGCGAGCTTGGCGGCGCGGCGCACGCGTGGCAAGGCCAAGGGCGGAGCGCCTGCTGACAGCGACGGCAGCGAGTGCGCGGAGCTCAAGCCGGCCGCGAGCGACTGCAGCCTAGCTGGGCCTGGGGCGAGACTGATGGAGGAGGGGAGCAGCAGTTCAGCGTATGAGGCGTAGTTAGAGACTCGGCTTTCTTTTGCAAGATGCCTTCATCATGCCTTCATGTAACTCGTACTCATAAGTCACACAACGCCTATCGCCACTTCCATCCTAATGTGTGTGCCTTTTCGAACCTAATGTACCATGCAACCTCGCTCCGAGCACGCGTCACGTCATGGGGGCGCCGACCCAATCTCTCCCGCCTCTGCACCCGTCCGCGCCGCTCTCTGCCCCGCGTCCGCGGTGCCCGCGCCGGGGAGGCTTGCCAAGAAGGCCTCTGTGTAGCTGGGTGGCACAAGAGGTGTTGAGGTGGATGGCGGAGCGGTCACCGCCGCTCGAGAGGGCGACGGATTGCTCGCCGGCGGCTGAAGGCCGGCTGGGGGCGCGTTGCGCTCGATGTATCTGGTGACCGCGGGGCGGCTGGCTCGCCGGGACGCGCCGAGGACGGGTGCCGGCCGGTGCCCATTGCTGCAGCTCTCGAGCAGGCTGGCAAGGATGGCGTTCTTGAAGGCATCGGCATCATCATAGCCCCTCGAGAAGCTGTAAAATCCGAGCGCTGCCTTGGAGTTGTGGCCCTTTTGCTGTCCGCGCTCGTAGATGCGCGGCACCAACCGCCGTGCTGCATCGAGGTAAGCTGCCGAGCGGCCGGGACCGGCGGCGAGCCATTGTGCGGCCTCGTGCTCACCCGGGACGCCAGAGTCGCCCTGCGTGCGGCTCTCCCCCTCCTGCCGGGACCGCCAGTTGTGGTAGGCAAAGATGTCATCGGCCGCACCTCCAGTGCCAGCGACGATTAGGATGGGGTCTTGAGGCTCCTCACTCAGAGCATCGCAGAGGCGCTCCAGGGTCTCGGCGCCGCCATTAACAACGAGCAGCACGATGGGGGTCTTTACACCATCGCCGGAGAGGTCCTCCTCATTTATGAAGTTCTCGAGACCCTTTCGCAGCCGGCCACGCCCGTCTCCTTTCCCACCGCGCGCATCATCCTCGAGGAGTAGAAAGTGAGAGTGGCGAGGCTGGAGATGCAGATCGTCTGGGCCAGCGTACGAGGTGCCCTTTGGATTCTCGTACATGACGCAGCGCCCCGTCCGCGCCTTGGCAAGCTCGCCCCTCTGAGCAACCTTCTCCCACGACGCAATCCCCAGGCAGGGCAGGTCCTCCACCTCCCCGCCCGTCGGCCTCGGCCTGCCGATAAGCCCGCCGACGCCCTCAGAGACGCCATCGGTGATGAGCCACGCATTGCTCACGCGGAGTGCACCGCGTAGCCCGTCGCGGAACTCCTGCAGAGGTAGATCGGTGGCGAGCCTAAGCCCCTCCTCGAGGGTCATGGCGCTCACCTGCTCTGGACCAATGCCGGCGGCGTCTGGGGCAGTGATGCCAACTGCGTCGGCGGCGCAGTTGGGGCCGACCAGAGTGACCACTGCGCTGGGTGGCTGCAGGCGCCAGTCTCTCAGCAGAAGGTTCCCCACGCTTGCCGCATCGCAGCTGGTGGGTAGCTTGACCCAGCGCGCAACATGCCTCGCAGCCCCTTGGAAGCGGACAGATCCCGAGTGCTCCGTACTGGCCACTACGACGGCCTTGGTCGCCTTCCGGCGACCGGTTGGGGAGGAGGACCTTTTGGTGGGCGTTCCAGGGATGGGTGAGCCCGGCCGGACTTGGGACTTGTTGGAAGCGGCCGCCCCCATCGGGTCAACCGCTCACCACAGTGTAACGCTCGCCGACGATCGCCGTTGGGCCGACGCCGAGTTTGACCCGCCAAGTTTTGAGATATGGGACGGCGCTGCTGCGAGCGAGCCTCGCTTCGACTCCCACTGCTTTCTCGCGCTGGTGAATTCCCTGCGTGGGACGCGTATCTCGCGCAAGTGTACCTCGCACAAGCTCTAGATGCGTAACAAAGAGCGAGGTGCCGAGATAGAGACGGGTCTGAAATCCCCACCCGACGCGTTTGTTGTTGGCGCCTTCAGGAGCCGCCCCAATACCCGTTCAGCACGGCTCGGCTGTCGTGGTTGTGGCGCTGCGACTGCAGTACCCTCGATGCTGCGTGCCGCCCGTCGAATGCGTCTTGTGGGGGCCTCGGGGCTCACAGCTGCCCTGCTCTCGCAGCGCCAGTTGGACGAGCGCTGCCGCTGGTATGGGGCGTGTCTCCGCCCTGCAGCGGGCGCGACCCGCTCGCCAGCAGGCGGGCGCGTCTTGGAGGCCATGTTGCGCCCACTGACTTTTGGCCAGAGGCGTTTGCTGGAGGCAACTATGCCAACGAGCCCCCAGGCGTCCCACCCAAGCTCGCTCCCCACTCCCCTCGCACCCTCTCCACGTCCAGTTAGTCGCAGAAGCCGACCAGCAAGTCAGGCTTGCGCGTTGTGGCCGGGAGGAAATGTACTAAACAGAGAGTCCCACTGATAGGCACCTGGCGGCAGACCGACGGCGGAATCGGCTTGCGTGATCGGCCTAATCCGGAGTGGCACATGGTGTGCGCTGCTCGCGTGCTCTCCTCGCGGCAAAGCATCGGGAGGTGATCCATCACATGACGTTGCAGGCGCAGTTCGGCGTGTGGGTGCACCCTCGGCTCTCCCCGCCCTGCTTTGAGAGCGGCGCGTGGGTGGAGGTGTGGGCCGCACTCACGAGCACCCTTGTGCAGCCTCACGGCTCCCGCTTGAACCTGAACCGGCCGCGCCGACGGCTGCAGGTGATGCGCGTGGATGAGGCGACGGACCGAGTGGGTGCGGCGGCGGCATGGTACTACCACGCTCCGGGTAGCGGGGTCTGGCTCCATCTAGGCCGAACCAGGTGCGGGCAGACGCCGGCGAAAGAGTTGTATGGGGTGAGCAAGAAATACGCCTTGCCTCTGACAGCGGGGTCCCCGCTGCCAGCGCGAGACTTTGCTTTGGTCACGCAAGCGCGGCGTGCGAGGCTGGACACGGTGCAGCGGCGCGAGCCGGACAACACGTGGTCGCACCTCGAGATCATCGACGTCCGACACGCGGTGAGGGGTGGCGGCATCTGCGCCGGCGCGGCGGCCGGCGTGTTGCGCGGCGGGTGGAACGGAAGCAGGGAGTGCCGCTGCGACCCGGCCGGGCCGGTGGTGACGTGCTCGTCGGGCGGGGAGGGGTAGAGGTGTGTGTGTGTGGTGTGAGCTGGCAGGATTAAGGTTTTGCTTTCTTCGAGACGCCGTTCAAACAAAAAAGAAAATGCACGCCGACTCCTTGTGTGGTCGCTTTTGCGTTCCTGCACCTGCAAACAAATGCGGCATGCCGACTCGGAGCCGCCGCCGCCGCCGCCACCGATCTCGCTGCCGCCCATCGCACCGCCGTCGGTGTCGTTGCCGCCCTCCGGCTACGCGCTGGGCACAATCTCCGAGAGCGGGGCTCTGCACCGCTCAGAGAGCCGGGGCGCACGAAGCTTTCATAGCTGTGACTCGCTGTCGTCGGGCCGGCGGGCGCGGCGACCGTCCTTCTCCAACCTGAGTGAAGCCAGAAGTTCGTTTCGTCTCGGCGCCGCCGACCTCGGAGCGGATGTCTCCGATATGCTCAAGACGGCGCGCACGGACCTGCAGCACCTGCCGGGCGTGCTAAAGAAGCACCAACGCCAGTTCTACTTCATGCGGAGCGACTGCCAGCCGGTGCACGGGCTGCGCGACTGGACGCAGGACGAGTGGCGGTGCTGGCTGGCGCGCTTCCCGAGGCTCGGCGACGACCTCGCCCGCGGCCTCCTCCGCTGGCGGGAGGGGGAGGCCGAGGACGTCGGGCCAGAGGCGTGCGCGATCGCTATCAAGATCAAGATGAACCAGAGCCTTACGTACTCGGACTGGCACCTCATCTCCGTCTTCCAAAACCGCGCGCTCAACGCCGGCTTCGGCGACGGGGACGGCGCCATCCACTACTTTGAGTCGGACCTGCTGTCGAACTACATCTTCGACCGCGAGTTCCCGCTCGGCGCGACAGATACGAGATACATTTTCGAACTCCTGAGAGAGAGAGGCCCACCTACTATAGACCCGGCACATGGCCGATAGGCGTCGAGGAGCGCATCCTGCAGGACCGGCACCGCTTCGCGATCAACCACTCGGGCGTGCACCGGATCGAGCACCGCCAGAGCAAGGCAGAGCATGCTCGAAGCGTGAACTGTCGTCTTGCGGCGTGACACCCCCCCACTCCCCTCCCCCTCCCCTCCCCCCCGCAGCTGCTGACCTTCACCGTCTACTTCGTCCTCGCCCTCGTCGCCCTCGTCGTCGTCATCTACCTCCTCGCCCTCATGGTCGGACAGAGCGAGCTCTGGGTCATCAACGCCACCGTGCAGGACTTCAGCGACGGCAATGACCCCTCCACGGAGATCGTCGAGCGCACTAAGAGCCGCGGCGAGGTCGCATCGCTGCTCGCCACGTGCACCTTCGCGCTGCTGATCAACGGCGCGCCTCCCTCCTCCCGCCCCGCGCCCCTCCGTGGCCCCTCCAGCAGTGAGACACGCCAACCGGCCCGGTCGGTCTCCCCCCCTCTCCCGCCTCTCCTCTCCAGGCATGCTCGACAAGTTTGGGCTGATCGACCCCTCCTCCTCCACCGTCTTCATCGGCATGTTCCTCGGCGGCACGTGGGGCTTCGTCCTCGACCAGATCTTCGGGAGCGACGAGGGCTACCGCGAGTACCTCTCGACAGTCTCCAGTGACGGCCCGTCCATTCAGCGACCCTCCCGATCGCAGTGTTTGTGGCTCGTAGGTACCTCTGGTCGCCGCAGGACGGGATGAAGTACGCGATGGGTGTCCGATCCAAGTGTTTGTGGCTCGTAGGTACCTCTGGTCCCCGCAGGACGGGATGAAGTACGCGATGGGGGTCCTCGTCTCGGAGCGGTACGGCCGCTACCTCGTCACGATCCTGTTCGACATGTGAGTCGTAAAAGTAGTAGTAGGCTAGCAGCAGTTAGCAGCAGCAGCAGCAGCAGCAGCAGTAGTATAGTAGGCAACCTTCACTCCAAGATCTGCGTTCGACATGGTTGCTTCCTCTCCCCCGACCCTCTTGTCCCCCCCCCCTGCCCTTCCCCCTCCCTCCTCGGCGCAGGTTCTTCACCACTATCCTCTTCAAGCAGCTCTTCTCGCGCGCCCTCCGGCTCGCCATGTTTACGGCGACGCGGCTGCTCTCACAGCACACGCACGCCACCGCACCGAGAGCGAGCAGCGGGCCCCTGATGAGCCTAGGTCCGGGGTCGGGAGTGGCTCGCCAACGCGTTTGTGTCGGCGGTCATCTCCTTCGTCACCTTCAAGGTGTACGCAAATATGACTCGCTTCGAGTGGGCGTACCCGTCGGGGCAGGAGGGGCGGGGCGAGTGGATCCAGGGCCAGACGATGGTCCTCGCCACCGTCATCATGAGCATGGTCTACCTCACCTCGGAGACGCGCGCGCGCGTCGGGGAGCCGGGCATCAACGACCCGAACATCAAGCTCGCCGTCGTGCTCTTCACCTTCTTCATCCTCTGGATGCTGCAGGCACGCCCCCCCGCCCCCGCCCCCGCCCCTCTGCACTCCTCTGGATGCTGCAGGCACGCCCCCCGCCCCCCGCCCCCGCCCCTCTGCACTCATCTGATGCTGCAGGCACGCCCCCCGCACTAGTCCTGCCCCCGCCCCTCTGCACTCCGCCGCTCGATGTCTCGCCCACTCGAGCCGTCCCCATGCCACCCCCGCCCCCCCCTCCCCCCCCTCCCCCGCCCCCCCGGTGCGTGACTGTAGGCGCAGAAGGTCATCGACCCGGCCTACGACATCATCCTGGTCGACGAGAGGGGCGCCTCCAACACGACGGCGGGCGTAGACGTCAACTTGCCGCTGCAGAACGTCTGCAAGATGCAGGCGCGCGTGCGCCTCACGCTTGACCGCCCGTGTGGAGAGATGGGTAGAGAGTGGGAGGACGGGGCACGCGTGGAGGCGGTGGAGGCCGCGTGGGGACCCTCTCCTTCCCACCCCCTTCTCTCTCACCCTTCTCCCTGCTTCACATCGCAGCACCGTGCGCCCCTGGGCTTCCTCGCCTTCACGGCCATCACAATCTTCTCCCTGGGCTTCGTCATTTTCCTCACCAGCGTGCAGACGCTCTCCGGACTGCGGCAGTCGTGCCGCGGCTGCCCGAAGCTCCCCTGCCGCATCGGGCTCCGGCGCTCGGGGGAGGGAGCAGCGACCACGCCAGCGTCGGCACACAGCGCCAGCCCCACACCTAGCTGAGCCTTCCCCGCGCGCGCATTCCGTTTAAGCTGGTCAGCTCTTGCGCCGTTAGGTTGCGGGGTCGGGGGGAGTCTCGCCAGTGACTCTCTCGTCGGCGGTGTCGCCGCAGACCTTCGATGTGGGCTCGGACACTTCTTCCTCGTCTTCCCCCGATCGTGTCGCGCAACGGCTCAAGGCCGTCCAGGATCGGCTTGCGTCGATCCGATCCGTGCAGCAGCGCACGGAGCGAGCCAAGCGGTGGCAGTCGGAGACGATTTCCGGCCACAGCAGCGGGACGCGGCGGCGTCCGCCCTACACCCGCCCGGCTGTGCGTGCACGCCCGCAGCCCCCCCGCCCCCCCCCCTCCCGGCCAAGGGCCGCGTCCCCACACTACTTTATCTGGGCTTCACTTCCTAGCATCCGTGAGGATACATTGGAGCGTACTAGGGTCCGTCTGGAGTCGTCGCGTGCCTCCACAACCACACACATACCCAACGTGCTTTGTCATGATAGGTGCGCAACGCGCTCCCGGTGGTGAAGCTGCGGGGTGGGCTCGAGCTGTCGGTGCCGATCCCGCAGCAGGCGGGGCTCAGCGATCGGCTCAAGGGCAAGCTGGCCATCTTCGCCATCTTCCTGACGCTCGTCTTCTTCTTCTTCGGCTTCTTCGCGCTGGTCCCTTTCTACAGCGCCGACGGCGAGCGCGACAAAGAAGAGTGGTGGGAGCACTGCCGCACCAACTACGACCCTGACGCCCTCGAGGCGCTGGGGCTCAGCTGAGTCAGCGGCCCCGGAGGTCTCCCTCCCCCCCCACTCCTGTGCGCAACAAGCCGCTGCCCGCGGTGTAGCACGTGCACACACGCGCAGACGGCCGAGCGAGTGAGCTTGGCCCTGGCTGGCCGCCTGGCGAGCCTCTGGGCGGGGCATTTAATTATCGAGCGAGCATGGCCCCTGAACGCTCGCTGGGCATGCGGCGCAGCCATGACCCATGCATGTCGGTCCAGAGTAAGAAAGAGCTCAGACCAAGAGCTTCCAGGTGTGAGCGTGACTGACTGTGATCTGTGTTGTAACTTGTATTCTCGCGTATTGCGTATATGGACGTACATATATCGATCATTTAAGCTTTATCATGGGAGAAATTTATCGAAGAAGGATAGGAAAGTGCCCTCGAGAGAAAAACTCCAGCTGACTGAAATTTGTCTGGTAATTTTTCACCTGTGTTACTAGTCAGTGCGCGCCAGACCCAGTCTTGTGCCTAAGCGCTAACCGTTAGGGCCTAAAGAAAGAAAATCAACAAGCCAAGGGAGGGATAATAAATAGAGCAGACATCTCCTGGAGAGATAGGGGGACAACCCGACGGGCAAACCCCGCCCCGCTCGGAGGGCGTGCACCACACAGCACTAAGGGAGGGATATGGCACGCCGCCTCCGTCGGAATGAAATTAATTCTTTTTCATGGTGCACCCGCGACACGGAATTCTTTTCACCACCTTTTTGCAAGCATGAGCGAAGAGAGCGCTCCGCCCCCTGGGCGCGACAGAGAGAGCGCTCCCGGGCGTTCGCGCAAGAAAGGCGGCCCGAGTATAGACTACAAGTACGAGGCTTGCATCGACTGGAATCATTACGGGCCAGCTTGCTGCGCCGAGCAGACCCGTCTCTACTCGCTCTCGGTCGCCGAGATGTACTGGCGCGTCGTCTCGCCGGTCCGGCAACGCGAGCTGGAGCTTTCGCGCAACACGCCGGCCCTGCTCAAGGACCACGGCCCGTTCTCGCACATGCGGCGCGCGGGCACCCTCCCTCCGCCCAGGCCGCCCAAGCTCGACGCTGCCGGCAACGTCATCGCCTCCAAGCCCGTGGAGCGGGTGCTCTACAAGGACGGCGATGGCGAGGAGTTTGAGGTGACGGCGGACCGGAAGCGCAAGCTGAGCGACGTGTCCGCGGCGCTGGGCTCGCTCGCGCTCTGCCCACTCCTGGTGCGCATCTGGGAGCGCGACGGCACCCCGATCACCGCCGACGCCCAATGTGCGTGCCAGCGGCTCGGCGGCGCCACGACGATGCCGGCGGCGACGGCGGAGGGCTCGGGCGTCGTGAAGAAGGAGGAGGGAGGGGAGGGCGGCGGCGGCGTGGCGGAGGGCGTCGGAGCAGACGCCCCTCCGCCCAAGAAGCCGCGGCCCCCCTCTCGGCCTCCCGCCGACCGCAGCGCGGCTCGCAGACCGACGGGCGGCGGCGCGGCTGCAGACAGAGAGGTGGGGAGAGAGGGAGGGAGGGAGGCGGAGGAAGAGGGCACGGTCCTGTAGGCGCGTCCGCGGAGCCTGGCGCCGCCGAGAGCACCAACGGCGCCGCGACCCCCTCCTTTCGCCTGTTGTCCTCTCTCTGCGGCACTTGTGAGGTTGCCTTCTGTTGCAAACTGCAGGCAAGGCGAGCGGTGGCGGCAGGGCGGGCAAGGGCGGCGGCGAGGGCAAGGCGGAGGGGGAGCCGAGGCGAGGCGGCGGCGGGAGCGCGGCTGCAAAGTCGACTCGCGCGGCGACGGCGGCGGCGGCGGGCTGCCTCTGCGTGTGTTGCGGCGGACAGCGCACTGCGCCGTTGACTGTGTGTGCGTGCGAGATCAGGTCTGCCGGCTCGGCGCGCTCGACTCGCTGCTGGTGGAGGCGACGAAGGCGGACGAGGACAGGGCGGGCCGACCACCTCGCCCTCCCCCACCCCCGTCCCTTGCCCCCGTCTCCCTCCCGCCTGCCTTCGT